TAGCAGAAAATGTAAAGAAATGAGTAGAGGAAAGAGCATAAGGTACAGGTAGAGAGGAAGAGAGCAGACTGGAGAAGATGATATTCAAATTTTTTTCCCTCAGTTTTACTTTAAATCTAAAGTTTTCTATCAAAAAGTAAATAAATTACGATAACATGGAATCAAAAGATAGCTTCTGGCAGCAGCACATGTATGCATGCATGACTCTGAAGTTCCTTTTGCAACAAATTGATCCAAACGACGTAGTATCATATGCCAAATCCAATTCTGAAAATTTGACCCGCACTATACGTTTCTCATAGCGAGAATCCTTTTGGGTATTAATTCTTTCCCTCTGCAAACTAAACTGGTAAGCTTAGTTCGTATCTTTACGTTTCTCATTGCGAGTATTTTCATATATTTTCTTTAGGAAAAAAAATACCAACTTGATTTATATATTATCACGTTTATATCATTTTAGTTAAGATTTTTCTTTCTGAATTATCAAATGTAGCCCACAAAGGTTTTTAAGTGGGAAAGGGCATCTCCAACTCTTTGCCCCTCTAAACTCTATATTTAGATTTGCTACAATGAAATTTCACTTCTTCTACAGTTTAAACAGTGTCAACACCTTCAACCCATTCACTCTATAAAATTCTTGTAAAAGGAATATTCTCAGTATATTCTTTTATGTATTATTTTTTTTTGAAAAATAAAATTTTGTTATTTATATTTTATTATATTCTATTACTAAAATAAACTACATTTGTGAAAATTTAAAATTACTGTTATGATTGTTAATTTAAACAATACTTAATAATATTAATCATTAAATCTAAATTAAAGAATTTTTACGTAATTAATTATAGTATTTTTTCACCATATATTATATCAATTAAATAAAATTACAAATAGTAAAATAGCAAAATCATTTGGCTTCGATGATAATAAAAAAGCACTAATACTAATATTACATTTAAATCATTAAAAAGACATTACAAATAAAACATAAAAAACATTGGCTCGATGTGTACTTTGATTTTTTATTTATTGTGTAATTTAAGTTTATAAATATTCAAAACAATGTATTTTAATTGTTTGCAGCATTTTTTTATGTGATTTTATTAATAATAATATGTATTTTATAATTTTATAATAAATCGACAATGGTTTTTTAGTCTATGTTAAAATACGCATACATATATTTACTATTAAGATATAAAGTCACTCATTAATTGATTATTAGTTTTTTGTTTTACCACTTAAATGATAATTAAAAACAATATAGATATGTAATTAAATTATAATAATTAAATTAATCAAGATAAACTATTAAAAAAGATTAAGAAAAACAGTCCAAAATAAAAAAATCGCCCAAACAAATAAAAAGCCCAAATAAGTCTCATGATTTAGCCCAAACTTTAGTAAAAAAAATCAAAGAACAAAAAAAGAAGAAGGTCCACCCACTTTGTAACGGGTGAACAGTTCCATCATTTTCTAAGGGACTGCGACCGTTTGGCGGAGCGGGCTGTATTGGAGAGCCCACTCCGCCAAATCCAACGCGTTTGCACAATGTAACGAACAGTTTTCTTCATCTACTTCAACTCAAATTTTTCTTCTTCCTTTTTTTTTTAAAAAAAAATTTTAAAAATTTAATAATCTAGAAGTTAAGATACAAAAGTTAAATTAATTTTTGCAACTTAGTAATTATACTACAAACATATACAAATTAGAAAAAATAAAAACTGACAAAAATATCCATGAACCCAAAAACATGTGAAAAGTAGCTTTCCATCACTATTTAACGGCCAAAATAAATTTGAATGATAACTTGTAATGGATTACCAAATAGTTTAATGACTTGTTTTGTGATTTAATCTAATTATTATCGCCCTCCCTAAGTATCTAACTTGCAAAGCTATGGATTTTCTTGATATTTATATCTAGCTGATGATTTTTCTTAGCACATTCAAAAACTCTAGAGTCGTCTCAAAATATAAGAAAATTAGGTATTTGTTATGTAATACAAATAAAAAAATAAATTAAAAATTATTAATTTGCTATAAAATACTCCCCATCCCTGAAAAATAGTTCGCATAAAATTTTGAATTTTTTTACTAAAAATAGAATAAAACTCAAAACCCAATATGATTTATCTTTGTGGGACATAAGGAGTAATAATAATGAATTTATTAACAAAATCATAATCCCTATAACGTGATAAAATTTTATAGGCTCAGTAGTATGCCTTTAGAGAATTTTTATTACTATATTAATTTGTGAACAAAAAAAGTCCTATCAATTAGTAAAAATAATTTAAAATTTAAATGTGAACCATAAATATCAAAATATTGAATTTTTTTGATACAAAAAATTAAAATAAAATGAACGTATCCTAAAATTAAAGACATCATTATGCAGTCTAAAAGTAATCAATCTATAAAATTTATCCATGATTAACACGCCACACAACGCAAAGGCATAATATTAGTTTGTTTATAAATATATTACTCCGGTGCTGAATAAATTCTAGCCGTTCTGAATAAGAATATCTCTAGGCAATAAATTAAAACATCAAGATACAATGTCTATGCAATAAAAAATAAAATACCCAAATATGAAATTGTTGTATGCTTTTTCAAGAGAAAAATGAGATGTATAAAAGTTCTTTATTTATTTAGTCGTTTATAAATGATTACCATGTTCCAATAAACATTTCACACTTTTGGGACGGAGGAAAATCTAAACTGTGGAGCAGCCATAAGCCTATAACTGTGATCAGCCACGAGAAGTTATGCAATAATGTTCGTTTCATTTTTATCTTTTTACTTATTCTTCCAGAGTTTTTTTTTTTTTACCCCAGGACTTGTTACCGACGATGGTTTTAGTGATTGGGCTGTGAATGGCTTCCATCACATGGCGGAGGAAAAGGGGAAGAAATGAGTGTATGAAAGAGGAGAAGGCACATAAAGAGAGAGATGAGAGAGAGAGTTTTATTTAGCTCTTTTTGTCCCTCCTCTAAAAAAAAGGATTGAATGGTTTTCATGTTCCATCTGCCACAAAAACACTCAAGGAGTATACTCAAGAGATGAATTTTTGTGGCAGCCAGTGCTAATTGATACAATGTACTCACGGGTATATTAATGGATAGACATATATACCAACTAGTTCCCTAGTCACATTCCTCTCTCAATAATATTAATTCTTACGAAAAAGAGAACTAGGATAGAGTATAGTCTAACCCTACTTTTGTTACGTCGAGACTATTATATTTAAAAATTAAAGACATATTATAATTATCTAATTCTAAGATAAGGCACTGAAGATTTATCAAGATATACTTTTCCTCGTATTATTATGAAAGATCGCCTAGAGAATCATATTACTTTGTAACTTTAGCCGAAACTTATTTTGCAAGCTCATCAGCAACACTATTCGTCTCTCGAAAAATGTGAATGATTCTTGATTGCGAAAGTCGTAGCATCTCCTGGATACCCCGAAAGTATTGATAATGCTGCCATGGAAAATCGATGCCATTATGTAAGCACATTGTGATGACTTTGTTGTCTGTTTGAACTTCAATGTGACTCAATCCTTTTTCCATACAAACTTTTAAGCATTGGTAGATTTTAGCTAGTTCTGTTTCTAAATTTGTAGCCCGTCTCATATATTGTCTCGCGGCATTAATGAAGATACCTTGTTCTCCACGCAAGACATATCCCCAGCCAGCTTCTCCAGGTTGACTCAATGCAGACCCATCCACATTCAGAACCAGCTCTCCTGGTTCTGGTGGTTGTCATTTGACGATCTTTATTTTCTTGCGCAATGGCTGAAGCACTTTGACTTTGAAAAGGTTCTCCACCTCTTGCTGCTCCGATTGAGTTTTGGCATGTAATTTGTAGACACTCAACATGTGGGAAATATTAGTGACAATATTCTTATACAAAATTTCAAGAAAAAAATGTACCTTCAAAGATCATTTTATTCCTGAGTTTCCATACTTCCTATAACAAGAAAAGTGCAGTAACCCTTATGATTGTTTTTTTCGCCGTTGTGAAACTTCCAATGATTGTTTTTGTCCCTCCTCTTTGTTGTGTTGGTTCAGATCAACAGCCTGGTAATTTTATGCTCTTGAAATTTTCAAAAGATCATGATCCGGCAGTGTTGATTTACAAATTACCAACACGAAAGTATAGAATGTGAAATTTGTAAAGATTGAGACAAGTATAACCCTAATAAGTCTAATTTCAGTACTCGCATATGTCTGAGTGGCATTAAGTTGTTTCTTATCTTTCCTACTAGTGAAATAATTTGCTGAGTGGGATTACTTATTGATGTTTGAAATATGGTTTCTTGGTTACTCCCCTTCCTGAATCCTTTTTGAATTTGCAATGGGATCAAGGATGAAAGTAGTGTGCCTGGCAATAAAAGAGAGTAGATAATTGAGTACCTTATGGAATAAGGATGAGGATATATTTTTACTAGCGAAGAAGGGAACATGGGGATATTTAAGGGAACGTAATTTATGGGGAGGGTTCCAGTTCTTGAATTGGTTGCTCTATGCAATTGATATTGTTTGGTAAAATAAAGAAGTCTGCAGGCGTTTCGGTTCACTCGTCAACCGAGGATCACCCAGGACTCTGTTTTATCTTCTCCCTGGCTTCAAGATCTGGAGTTAACTTCAGTGTATTTCCTCTCCACAAATTTCTCCATGTTGTTGACAGAAGTGCCGTTCTAGTTGCTTTAATGGAATCATCCACGCCTGATTGGCTGACTCTTCAGAGTCTACACAATAGTCAAAAACTACTTGAACTCGAGTTATAAACAAAACTGGATAGTCAATCACAAAATATGTTTATCTGGATGTGTTTTTCTTGTAGTCACAATCATTCTCATTGCTTAGCTTGTAAATTTTGTTTCTCATATGTAAGTACATAATCAATGTGTATTGATGACTCAAAATACTGCTTTGTTAAAATAAAACAGTAAAATAAACTCACTTTTTAAGCGAAAGGAATGATCTTGAATTGTAAAGATAACTCAGTAAAAGTACACAAACTTCCTTACTGATATATTATTACCATTGCACCACAATCAAACATATTACAGATTACACCTTGAAGGAAAACATACCACAAAGGAAAATGAAGACCAAAAGTAAACAAAACAGAAAAAGAAACTCAAAAACAGTGACAACTTCAGGGCACGCCTAAAATTAGTGCCCAAATCTGATACAGACACATTACAAATGATGACGACAGGTGCAGCTCGGTTATATACAACTTCCAGATGCGTTGTTTCCAGAAGAGGTACTCAAATCTCCCTTAATAGGATGAGCTCCTGAATGAACCCAGAGCTTTAGCTGCTCCGGCTCTCAAAATGTACTGGTGGTAAAATGCTGCAATTGCAGCTCCGATGAATGGTCCAACCCAGAAAACCCACTGCAAAATTTTTTAAAAAAACATACAAAAATCCATTTAATTCAAATATTCAATCAATAAAAATGGAAACAAATATGAGTATATGCTCATCTCAGTAAATGCCAAGAATTGAACAGAACAGAAACTCACGTGATCACCCCAATTTTTGCCGGAGATCACTGAAGCTCCAAAGCTTCTTGCTGGGTTAATACCAGTTCCAGTCACTGGGATTGTGGCCAAGTGAACCATGAACACTGCAAATCCAATTGGGAGTGGAGCCAATACCTATATATACATATAAAATCGTTATTCAAAATCAATTCATCACATTAATAATTCCGATGTAAACAATTAGTAGTACTTACTGGAACGTGGGAGTCTCTTGCGTTTCTCTTGGGATCAGTGGCAGAGAAAACGGTGTAAACAAGTACAAAGGTTCCGATGATCTCAGCGGCCAAACCGGTGCCGGTGCTGTACCCGTCGTTGATTCCGTTAGCACCACCGCCGTAGAGATTGTAGTGGGCCGACTGGAAAGCCTTCACAAGCCCAACTCCACAAATGGCGCCCAAGCACTGAGCCACCATATACATGATTGCTCGAACCAGAGACACTTTGCGGGCCAAGAACAACCCGAATGTCACAGCCGGGTTAATGTGCCCACCCGAGATTCCGGCGGTGCAGTAAACCAGGATAAAGATCATGCCACCAAAAGCCCAGGCGATACCCAAGATCCCAACGCCGCCGCATTGGTCACCTCCGGCGGCTGTGTCGCTCTGGCTCTTGTAGCCAATCACCGTCAAAACCGTAATGTACAAGAACAAGAGGGTTGCGATGAACTCGGCGATTAGTGCTCTGTAAAATGACCATTTGGTGAGTTCCTCCGGGTCAATCAACGGGGCCGGAGGAGGGTCTTGGTAGTCCTTGGCGCCGTATTCGTTGCCTCCAACTTCAATGTCTTTCGCCATTCGTACAAATTTCTTCTCTTTTTGGTGATCGGAAAATTAAGCTAAATTGCTCTGTTTTTGGGAAGAAGAAGACTCGGGGAATGAATGTTTGTTGCTTGAGTGATGACGATTGGGGAAAGGGTAGGGGGTATTTATGGGGAAGAAGGATCAGTGATCAGTGATTGGGGGAATTAATTAAACTCGTAATTTGCCGCCCATTCCATAATCCCCACTTATTATTTTCCGCCATTACTGTAAAACTGGCTTTCCATCACTTTCATGACTATACAAAAGCTTAAGTGCGGGCGTGGACCCGGAGTTTTTTGGGCTTAACCTTTTTCACTGTTGTCAGGGAAAGAGACACCTCAGCTCAGGCTGTAACCATTGGAATCTCTATGAAGACTATGTTACATGTGTTTTTATGAATGTGAAGTAGCTTTCTTCCAGAGTTTTTTCGCATTTTTCGATCCTTCTCGTGACAGAATCGATTCCCAGATTTCCATCATATAATACCTGATCACAAACTTGTGATTTGGAAAATCCATTAATTTCAGTAAATATTATATTCTTTCTTGTGATTTCGACTCAACGTAAACTATTTTTCTAAATTAGAATAAAATAGTATTTATTAGTATTCGAGTTTTGTGTTTAGCGGAATAAAGCTCAATTAAACACATACATTCTCCCAAACCGGTGAAACAACATGGTATCGTTGGAAATAGGAATTAAAACAGTTATAACACATACTCCTTCCGTCCTTTAATTATTGTTCAGTTTGGGTTTTCATTTCTAATTTAAATTATACGAAAACTAAACTCTTAATCTGGACAATGATTTTGGGACAAAAGGAATATTAAATTAAGCAAGTTTAGTAATTCGTCTAACGAAATTTGAATCAATCTTTACATCAACTTAGAGGTCTTACCTAACTCCCTTCAATAAGGTTATCATCTTACTACAAAAAATACCAAAATGCTGGACATGTCAAATCATAGTACTGTAGTGTCACATCAATAATAACCGACCTCCATAATTTTTCATGCGGAATGCTCTTTTTTGGGCTTAATTTAGGACTTAGAACAGCACCACCACCGTCCACACTCTCAATTTTCTTACTTATCCCTTTTAATTATTTTTTCCTTTTTTTGGTTTGCTTATCCTTTGGAATCCCCAACCGTTCACCTCCCGCCACGTCATATTTGCCGCCATAGCGGCTGTACCCAACTCTTCACAGACTTCAAACTCACCAATCATTGTAAAGTTGGGATTAACTTAATCAAAATAATTAGTTATATAATTGCATAATTGGATTAGCAATTTCATCATTGCATTAACCCAATCATAAATATACTGGAAACAATAGTAGTATATCACGAGAAAAAAAAATGTTAGAAAAAGGTTCTGGTTAATAGTCATGCCATGTGTCAAGCAATGGTTAGATTAGGAATTGAAAATGTGGTTTGGTCACTTTGGTGTTGTGGACTATATGAGTTGGTCGGTTGGCCAATCCTATTGGTCAGATAAATTCATCCTCTCATTTATTTTCTTTTTTTTTTCGTGAAAAAATTTCAAGGATTGTAGAATCTGTTGCAGCCAATCTGAATTGTTCTTCTCTATTTGTTTTTGCCTCAATTTATCAAAGATTCTGGACACTTATTGATTAGTAGTGAAATAGAAACAAGAGTACAACATTTTAGCACATGCTGACTCCGGTCCTTGATATAAGGTATTTTGATTTTGTCCTAAATTTCACCGAGTACACATTTTTAATTGACGAAAAAAATTTAAAAATATATTTTCGCGTTCGTTGTATTCTCTTGATTGTTATGAAACATTTTTAAATTTTTTTTTATCAATTAAAAATATGTAATAGGTTAAACCTAGAACAAATCAAGATACCTTATATTAAGGACCGGAGGGAGTACTTTAGTTTTCTTTTTTTTAAAAAAAAATATATATTTACCTACTCAATCAACTGATCGATGAAGTAGAAACCTGTGTGATACAAAGTGAATGCCCCCATGTAACAAAAAAAAAAAAAAGGAGAAGAAGAAGAAGAACATAAGGCATGTTGAGCTTTGGCGTAATGGACAAGAAGCGTCACGAGACAATATAGCTCATTATTTGTTCGCAGCGGAAACTTGAAATTTGAGACTTTGAGTACATGAACAAAATGAGCATCCAAGGAAAAGGGTGTAAATAGAGATTTTAGGGGGGCGTTGGGCGTTTGGAACGAAATGTTGCAATTTGGTAAGGCAATGGTTTGCAATTTGTCTAAAAATTATTATTGTCATGTTATTTTAGGAAGAATAAAAGCCGTAATGTATCTAATATATTGACAAAATAACGCTATGTTGATTGAATTTTGTTTGAGTATCTCTACTAATGTAACATACTAATTGATACCCTCAATTGCGGACATACTACAAAGTACAAACCCTTTTGCGGGGCGGAAATGGCGATCTCTTGCATTTTTTTTCTTGCCGAAAGTTCCTACTTACGTTGTGCCAAAACATTTGCTTGAGGCCTCGAATCGTTGAACTGATAATATCATAATATTGCATCTGAAAAACGTTGAAGTTTGGAACTCTGAGTACAAGTAGGATTTCAGTCAAAACCGAGCTAGTGCTGATTGCAGAACCCACCAAATTAATTGCTGAAACGATTGGAGAACGTATTTCTATTTTCGTCCCTTTCAGAATTTGGACTCTGATTCATTAATTCGGAATTGACAAGTTTGTGAATTTTTTATTCATTTATTTTTTTTTAAAAAAAAAATCGATATCTAGTATGGTGGGAAGTGGGAACACTTTGGCGTAGGTTCATTGTAAAAGCCTTATTGCCAAAGCCCTTGCTCCCTCTATCCCAAAATTATTATTTATTTTGAAATTTTACTTTTAAGATAATTTGAATTAAAAATAAAAAATTCAAATTGGACTATAATTATGGTACGGGGATATTAATTAGTTTATGTTAAGTACCAGTGTCAAAATAAATATTGCTCCCTTATAAACGTAATGTGCAACTGGCTGGTTTAATCCATTTGCAAAGCCCTTACTGCTAAATCAAAATGTCTTTAAAAAAATACCTAATTTGAAAAATAAATTTAAAAATTATATGACAATATGACTTAGTCTTTCAAAATAACAAATTAAATAAAGTATCACTTCTATTTGCTAATTTGATATGATATTAATCTCTGAGTTTAGTTTTCAAAGTTGTGCTTTTTCAGGACGTAGCTGACGTCAAATCGCATTATAAATTTGAAAATCCAATATGAATTTATTTTTCTTTTTTTTTTTTTTTGGAGACACATCAAATGTTAAAAGACCAAAGTGACAAAAAGTAGAGGATAAGTCGGTCCGTGAATCGGTGAATGTACATCTTATTGCTATTCGGGGGAAATAGGAAATAGACTTCGTTACGTAGGTTAATGTAAACTCAAAAAAATGGTGTAACACAAGAAACCAAAAACTCTGCATGTTAAACACAAACGACGACCGTCAGCCTTTCTCCACGAATATATATATTGGGCTTAATCTTGAGTCTTCACTTCACGCAACCTAAATTCAGAAACTTTTTTTTTCAGCACCTCACGGCCAGGCTAAGAGCCGCAACTGTCTATTAATTCTGTTAACATATCCCATGGGGAGTATTTTCGGTCTACCAGAGGACATTCACAAGAAGATTGATATGGTAAACTAATTATTAATGTAATTTGGAGGATATTTTTAGATTAGATTTGATTTGATCTTATTATATCATCTAAATTACACTGACTAGGGTCTAGGAATAAAGAAAGATTCATTGGCGATCACGACGGAAATTATGCACATCTGAATCTAGCTACTACAGTATTACGAAAAGTAGTACTCCCTCCGTTCCAAAATTATTGTCCACTTTGAGATTTTACTTTTAGTACAATTTGAACTAAAAATAAAAATCTAAACTGGACAATAATTATGAGACGGAGGGAGTAATAACCCAGCGAGGAGTCATCGGTTTGCATATGTTATTTATTACTTGTACATACAATTTTATGTGATGTATAAACCTACTATGTTTTCCCCCCAAAAAATAAAATAATAATAATAATAGTTAAAAATAAAATAAAATAATCTGATCACCAGTTAATTTTGCTCCTCTTGAATTCACTTTCAATATGGTTGTTTAACCTTGTAGTTCATTTGTAGTAATTGGTTTTAAATGGTTATTGTAATCTTGACTTGCAATTTTGTAATCCCTTAAACTTTAACAAACACCTCATGGACATCCAAATTCATAAGAATTTCTATGCCAACCCATCAAAGGAAGTTGTACACATTTTTCACCCAACAGTTTTATCCCCCCATTTTTTTCTCAGTTTTAGAAAGGTGAACACATTTCCAGGAAGATAAGATTCTAGCATTATCACAAAGTTTTAGACATCTTTGTGTTTTTTCTCCGCCAAGCCAAAAATTATGAGACCAAAACATCACACGTAATATAGAATAGTTATTCTGAAAGAAATAGAAGTAAATGTAACGTTAATTGTGATTAACGGAATGGGCTTCGAACATTATTTATAGAGCTGGGCTTGGCAACAAAGAGTGAACATCAACAGGCCATATGTACTGGCTTCTTCTCGTAAGCTACTCCCTCCATTCCAAAATAAGTGTCGTTTTAGCAAAATGGAGAAATTTTAAAATAAGTGCCGTTCTCACATTTCAATGCACTTTTTGTCCAAAATTTTCAAAATTACCCTCGAAAGAATTAATACTATTGGTGGACATTTTTTTAGTGGGGTTGGTTGAGGATATTCAAGTAATTTTATTACCCTATTTAAAAGTTTCTTAAACTATGTGCAAAGTGTAGAATGACACTTATTTTGGAATGGAGAGAGTACAATCGAGTTGAAACCCATCACCATCTTATTTTGAGCCCTCCTTAATATTTATCGCTCAATTGCAATTATCTCTATTGCCAAGTCCCAACATATCAAAGATTTTACAACTCTACTGCACTTTAAGAACCTCTTAAATAAGGTAATAAAATTATTTGAATATCCTCAATCAATCCTATTAAAAAAAATGTCTACAAATAATATTAATTCTTTTGAGGGTAATTTAAAAATTTTTGACAAAAACTGCATTGGAGAACAACACTTATATTGGAATTTATCAATTTTATTAAAACGACACTTAATTTGAAACGAATGTAGTAATATTTACTTCCCAAAAAAACAAAAAGTTGCCATTTTCCAAGCAAATTAGAGCAGTATGTCATATGAAGCCGCAAACAAATTTATTTGCTCTTTACATTGCTCCATTTGCTCATTCCATAAAACCAAAAATCAGTTTTACCTCTTTACTTTTTTGTTATGTCACGTTTTCATTCTGAAAATGGAGATTTCTTTTTGCATAGCAATCCGCCAATCACACAATGCAAAAACTTGGAAACACAAACAGAAATCGAAAGTATAAAGAATATGACATTTGAAAAGGGGTTAAATTATCCCATCGAAACGTGCAATAAACAAATAGACAGAGTTCCTGATTCAGGGGATTCCTTGCATTTGCCCTGCATTCTCTGGTTCATAATCATATCCCTTTCATTCACATCACAATCTTAAAACTACACCAAATTCCAATATTCTCTAATATAAGTACCTACTAATTTACGAATCTAGGACTTCCATCTCGGATCGCAAAAAGTTTATGATATCCATCTCGAGAAAGAGGAGGCACACACTCAGAGGAGAGGAGATAAATTGGAATTAAGATGGCATTTGAAACTGGGCCGCCTGGAATTAGACGACTCGTACGATTCGTATCCTTCTTCGTTCTCTTCCACAATGGTCTCCAGTTGGTGTGCGGTGGAAGAAGGTTTATGTGGGCTTATTACCAGAGGAGGAGCAACTTCCATCCATTTCCCTGAAACTGAGCTTCCCATCTTCATTGCCATTTTGGAATTGATTGAAACTTTTGTTCGAGATTTTGGGTTTTCAACAACTGCCTGCTTAGGGGGCTGAATCAAAAGCTCTTGTAGTCTTGTTTAATGACTCTAATTTAGGAATTGAAACCGTGAATTATAAAGGGAAAATTTGGGACAGAGAAAGTAAATAAGGTAGGCTGATGTTGCGGGAAGAACTGATGAATGGGAATGCTTCAACAACCTGGCAAGATTTATATGCGGGGCTTGAGGAAAAAGGAAACGTGAACAATGTGAAATTTAAACCCTGAATTAAAAATTGAGTACGATTAATTTTGTCTTTTTTTTTTTTAATGGTGGAGGTTGGTCAGACAGCTGCTTTTTACCTTGCTTTGTGGAAACGCGTTTGACCCTGACATTTCTCCCCATTTTTTTGTACACATACAAAATTGCAAATTCTCATCATCTCCACACTCCACAGTGTCACTGACTCACCATTCCAAACGCCCGCCTTTGGCCGAAGCATCATCAAGCATGTGTAAAACTAAGTTGAATAAATTACCAAACTAAAACATAACTCTAACGCAGAGGATATTTAAAAAACATACTGTTGTATAATAGTTGAAGCAAGTTGATGAATTATTGTCCTATAATTAAGTGGGCTGCTGAGTCAACAGTAAGAACTGAAACACGTGATGCTTGTCTTATTCCATGGCGCCACTTTGTAAACGACTTTTTAAACCAAACCACTATACTGTATATGGATTTTATCTCATGAACAAAGCTTCTAGTATTATTATAGGCCATTAATGTATCTGACTAATCATGTTTAACTTATGTGGCTTTGCGGAAAATGACCTAACTTAGTGAACTCAAGGTTTGAGCCCAACATAGTTTTTATAGGCTCATAAGCCTGGTATGTGGATAGTTTAGCTCCTGTCTGAATTCCAATTATTCAACCCGAGGGTTTGTAGGGCTTTAAGCAGGCTACAAAATGTCTTATACAGTTTGTTGAGCTTGTAGACTCTAGACTCTAGTGAACCAGGACAAGGAAAATGTAAAGAGATTTTGAAAAATGACAGCGAAAGGAGGCACATTTTCCGGAATGCAGAATTGCAGATGCACTAGCAAATTCTAGGTTTTCAAGATCAGCTACACCCCACCCATACATTACTCAGGATTATAGGCAAATCTTGTTCCAACATACAAGTCCCAAGCTGTTAAGCGTCATCAACAATATGTGGAGAAAAAGAATCAGGAAAAAAAAAAATACCATGCATATTGGGGCCATATCGTAAGATGCAAAAGATCTTCAATACACAGATATTTTATATGGAAGAAGAGATCTTCAATACACAGATTTTTTATCTGGAAGGAACGCGATCCTCGCTCTTTTAAGTACACGCAATCACGCATGTTTCTGCTCTGTGCACTCTCAAGTGTCTAATCGTCAATGACGCGCAAACTCAAGTTCAACCTCTCATAACAAGAGTAAAATGAGCAAATCTTGAAGAAATTATTTTTGAACTAGTATGGAAGCCACAACAAATCTTTGGAGTTGGAAAAGAGCTAAAGCAACGAACACATTGATACCAGGACCACAAATAGTGACAGACATTTCTCCAATTTATAATCCAAGTAACTTCTGCATTTTGGCTAACCAAAATCCACCACAGCATACTCAAACGAAGAGAAATGCATGTATATATCGAAAAAAAGAAGATTAACATCATCTATGAACAATGTTTCTAATTGAAACAAACACTCTTCTTCCCAACATAACTCCATATAATTCAGAGTGCAAATTCACCAAGAATGTAGGCAGACACTAAAATTCTAATCAATCAAAACACATACCAAACAAAACCTAACATGAACCCTTCAAACCATAACTCAACAATAACTCAACAACTTGAAACCATGCTAACTCCAAAGCAAAGAGGTAAGCATCACAGGGCTCAAGAACCAGAGTCATTGAAAACAGAATCTATTGCATACTTAACATGTAAAAATGACAACAAGGCTTCATATAAACAAAAGATGCCGCCAGATACTAATAACATTCAAGGCAAAGTAAGAAGACAAGCCCACTTGATTCCTTATCCTAGTTCTGCAGCATAAATAATCCTAATTCTATGGCATGGCAATTGCACGGGGATACCTCAATTGAATGACTCAAACATTCATATACTACTTCATCCTTATGCATCAACAGAGAGCAAAGCCTGAAGATTATCCTCCCATAAGGGGAAAGAATAAAAATATAGCCAACAATTTTCTATTTAAGCCTTCTTAAACAGGAAAAAAGATGTTTCAGAGCAAAGGGACAGCAACAAGAGAATCTAAACAAATGACAAACGTGGCAATAGCATTCTCCAAACCATACAAAAAGAACAAGAACTGCATACCTCAAGAACAAATTAGAGCATCACAAGTGCATAGCATCGCAAAATGAAAGTGGAATCTACTAATAGAACATAACATGAAAACACAAACAAACAGATAGAGCGATCCACATATATGATTCCTCAAAGCTCCAAAACTTCATCTAAATTAACGGAATTATGGAAATTAACAAAGTCTCCCATATTTAAGTTTCCCATTATCCAAAAAAGAAGAAAAATAAAGCACAAAACTCTTAATAAAACGACAGTAATTTCAACAGCTACTTAAATATTTAATCCTGGGGGATTTCAACATCACCATCGGCAATTTCCTGCTGCAAGTCCTTGGGGTCCTTCCCGTCGACGGTGCATCCAACAGAAACACACGTTCCGAGAATTTCCTTCACAGTGCCGGTCAAGTCTTTAGCCATGGACCTAGGCCTCATCACCTTAGCAATCTCGATGACGTCATCCAGGGAGATGTTGCCGCTGTGCTTGATGTTCTTGACCTTCTTCCGATCACGCTCGGGTTCTTTGAGGGCCTTGATAACCAGGGCGGCGGCGGATGGGACAACAGACACCTTGGCCTGACGGTTCTGGACGGTGAGTTTAACGGTGACCCGGAGACCCTTCCAGTCCTTGGCGGTTTCTTTAGCTATATCTTCTCCGATCTTCTTTGGAGACAGACCAAGTGGACCGATCTTGGGGGCCAGGGAACTCGCAGCTCCAACTTCGCCGCCGGTGACCCGGACGAACACTTCCACCACCTGGGTTGGGTCGAACTTAGGCGGCATTTTGGATGCTACGGCGTAGACTCCTTAGATAGGGCGGCGCCGCTGTGGGTGGGAAAAACGGCAACGAGGAGCTAAACAGAGAAGAAGTAGAAATGAAAATAGGAGGCCGTCGTTTTTTGTGCTGCATATATGCAGCTAGGGTTTTGCAGCAAAGCGTGTAAAGCCCCTGTTCTTGGATCGGGCTTTAGCTGCATTTGTTCCGCTCAAGGTATATTGGGCCTAAAATTTATTAATTAAACGGATACACGAAATTGACCAACAGTTCTGTTACTTTCGGAGTGCTTCTAGTTTCGGCCAGTTTTTAAGATAACTTTTTGTCACCCAAAATTGGGCCAAAACCTGGTGTTTGAGTCCAGTTAGTACAGTAAAAATATATATATATATATATATATATATCTGTGTGTGTGGAAAATTCTATGGTCAAGTCATGAATTTTTTACTGAACTATTCTGATATAATTTATCCAATAAAAGTGAGACACACTATAAGTTATTATAGGGTGTGCAACACCATAACAAGATCCTATTAAGATTAATTTTATTTTATCTTTAGTAATTTACAAATTAACCGGTTAAGTTTGATCCAGAAATTGGACTTCTGTTTCATCTAGAAGTTCCATATCTCCACCAAGTTCACTATTAAACAACTTCTCCACTAACTCCACTATCAAACAGCTCTATGCCGGTAGCATCAATCTCGTCAATAAAAATTATGCAATGATAATTATACCTGTTAATCAAGTCGTTTATCATTGATTCCAACTTATAGAAAATTCTTTTCCAATTACAAAAAACCTTACGAGCATAACACCATCGAATTCATGAACTATTTTTGCCTTTTTTTTTTTTTTTTTTGCAGATTTGTAGGTGTCAAATTCACGAGCTTTGACATCAGTCAATAAATAAAAAAAATTACATCAAAGAGAAGGAAAAAAGAGAATGTTGCTCTTAAGGTTTTTACAACCTTTTTTCAATCTTCCGGTTAAAACCCAAACACGAAGAAATATACGTTCCTACATCCGAAACTGAGTTCATCAATTTGTTCTAAAAAGGAAAAGAGAGAACGAATAAGCATGGCTAGATGGAATCACTCAAGTATATAAGAGAAATGGTGGTGACCCACACAAGAAGGTTATTTGTTGCACTACCGCCATTTTTTGAAACCATCGGAGAAGTTAACGGTAGCACAGAGATAAGCCAACCTCCAACTAAGAAGACTTAAAATACCAGGAAACTTAATGAATTTAATAAAAATTATTTCGGTCAAACAATTTTTCATTGTGTCTGGAAAACGAAAAAAAAGAAAAGAAAATTCAATAATCTACTGTGGCTCAATAGGACTTTGTTTGTCGGGGCAGCCAATTGAGTGATTTGGTGGGGGGTAATGTTAATTTTGGACGATTAGGTGACAGAGGAATTTGGAAAATCATAGAGACTCATGTTATTTGAAAGAACCTATTGCATCAGTTGCGGGTACGAGTAGTTTTAGAAATCATGATATGTGTTCAAGACTATTTTTCTTTATGTTATACCTCATCTAATATTACGATTTCAGATTTTATCTTTTTTCATTAATTTATTTCTCATAGTATAATGTATATAAAGTTAGTCGAGATAGATTAGAAGTAGTACATAACTTAGCAATAACATGTAATCAGAACTCTGTCTTTCAATATTAATAACATCATCTTGTTTTTTGGTAAAAAAAAAATGCCACATATACGTTAAGAGTGTCGGAGAGGATTTGGACCCCATGTTTTCCAGTGATAAAAAACATTGACATTGGAAGTTTTGCAAGTACGTAATGTAATGGAATTCTATTTGATTTTTATTTTTATTTTTTTAAAAAAAAAATCACACTGTAATTTTAGTACTATTCATAAATTAAAATGTAGATTATTTTTCTACAACATGTAGATCACATTAGATCAGTAGGTATTTCTTCTTGGTAGGTCTGCTTTGCAAATTGAACCGGTTAAGACTTAAAAGCTTCATTAAGCAGTAGCCAAAAGGTTTAGCACTACTATGTGCGTTTTCATAACAATAGTAGCTCTAAAATCCCATCGTCGGACTGTTAAAGCACTGTCCAAAAACAGCGAAGAAGAATAACCACCACAAACGCAGAAGTTATCCGTCACTTTCCTCCAAATTATAAACATATCAATCAATGGACCTATCAGAATGTACATATAGAAGCATATATTATATTGAGATTCAATTATTGGGCAGTTGTTGATTAAAAAATAATTAAAAGAGTTACCAATTCTCACGCAATCGCTAATCCCACTTGAATTCAATTACTACTATTATCTACCACCCTACTTTTCTCAGTTGTGGATAACATTCACCTACCTCTCCATTTGTTGTTACCCTTTGTCAAATAAAAACGAGGAAAAACTAAGCAGTAAACTACTACCTGCAGCTGCCTGCATCAGCCTCCTTGGCGTATTTGACTATATTATATTTGTATTATTAATAGTAAGTTAATTATTACGCTCACGGAATCTTGAATACTTCAAGCTTGCTGTGTAATTTTCAACCATAACCACGAGCGACGATCACGACGTCGTTGGGAAAAATTTAAATTTTTGGATATATAACGCTATTTTCAAACTGAAATGACCCGCATTATTATCAGTGTTTTTCATAGACCCCATATGTAGAAGGGTCATGTTGATAATTATACATTTGCCAAATGCAAACATTAATTATTAGTACCCAAATACAGTTTCCATTTCTTTCTTTTTTTTTCCCTCTAATTAATTGGGAGATATTACTCAAAAGTGTCAATCACTGGGTCTACCTCCTTTGTGAAGAAACCCCACGCAGGACACAAGCCATGGAATCTGAGATATTGTCCCGATCTATATATCTTTTCGAGACATGCAACATCCTAGCATTTGGATGTTACATTATTAGTATTAGCTAGCTTCCCTCTTTTTTTTAAAAAAAAATATTTAATATTACGAAATGTATATTTGCGGTGGGATTGTTTAGTACCCTTAAGTAATCAAGAACTCAAACATCTCCAAATTAGATATTATGATATTATACGGTAAAGTTCATCTACATGTATCGAAAGTCGAAACATTATGATCTATATATATATATATATACAAGATGACACGCTTGTATCATATTGGTGTAAGAGGTCAGCATATAACTCGTATGTTCTTAAACAAACATCTATTCAAGATGGATGGACTATCTCCTTTTAAATAAGTCACTAGAGGGACCATTATGCAACATATTTAAACCATTGTACATCAACGATCAAAACCTATGGTGAAATGTCTCGTTAGAGTGTAATTTCTGCTTTATAATGCTTTGTAATTTTGCTTCTGCTCTTAATAGTTACCCAATCATGTATAGATACGTATCCTCATACACAATCAACACAATGATAAAATCATTTTTGTTCCGATAATGTACATCCAAGTCCTATCCAATAGTATAGTTCTTACCGATTGGATGACTTTTATCACATTATTGGAGTCTACTGTTGGGCCCTTTTGGCCATTATCCATTGTCTTTTCGCACTTCAACAACCTTAGTCTTACACTGCTGTTACTTTTATTACTATTGGGAGGGGTTCAAGTCCAGAAGTTTCAGCTAGTGGGACAAATTACCATACGTGTGCACAGAATGAAATTTTTTTTCCGACTGCATGACGTGTCGTGATAATGACCAAATTTTTCGATATTGACCCAGATGGATATGACTGGCCTAATTTCAAGTGGGCCCAATTCAACATCCAATTACATTTATTATTCTTCTCATAACACTTGATTGGTCCACGTACCCATTTCCAATTTTTACTGGATAAATCATACGAGCCCATGCCCTCGTTTTTTTTTCCCCCCTTTTTTTCCTTCTTCGCTTCTTCTCTTCCCTATCAATTTTGGAAGTTACTAATGCACATCCCAGTCAACTTCATCTTTTTGTGATTAACCGAACATACAAGGCAATTTGATTTGTGCTAGGTTTAACTTAATACGCAATTTTAATTGACAAAAAATCTTAAACATATTTCGTAATATTCAAAAAAGTACGACGAATACGGAAATATATTTTTAAGAATTTTTCGTCAATTAAAAATACATATTAGGTGAAACTTAAGACAAATTAAAATGTTTTATATTAAGGACCAGAAGAAGTATTTGTTTACAACTGTTTGATGATATTTTATTTAGGATGAAGAAGTATCGATACTAGTATTTATTCATTCCATGTTCAAAATGATTATTCATTTTTGCAATAAATTGATCATTATTCTCTAACATATTGATATACACTCATTTTTTCACAACATAAAATGGACTCTTTCTTATTCTATACGCATACGGAATATCCCGATATCCAATAAATGGTTTTCAAAAAAGTTATCCAGTAAAGTGTAACGTGTAAAAATGAACTTTTCTTTAATGGGAAAGAAAGTAATTATAGTAATTTATTATCACTAATTTTTTGTTGTAAGAAAGTAGGCATAAAATCTGACCTATTGCAAGATGACTAACAGAATGGATAATGTTCATACTTCAGTAGAAAAAAACGCGTGTGCAGATGTAAGTGTTCATATTAGTTTTGGATGTCCTATTATAACGATTATAAAGTTATCAAATTATCCATAAAAAGAATAGCCAAGTGACTAGTGTGATAGGTTTATAAAAATTATATATATAAAAAAACAGGTTTATTCCGGTGAGGCCATGAGGGAACATTTAGAATGTAGTTAGGTTAGGATTCCGTTTACCCAAAAAAAAAACAAATAAAAAAATAGTGAGGGTTACTTTTAAGGACAAAAGGAAATGCTCGTTTAAAATTTAAACGGGTAATGTAATTGGAATTTGGAGGCAATGAAAATGGTTTATTTTTATGATTTTTTGTTTTTTTTTCTCTGAGAAGAGTTGATTTTTATGATTTTGAGTCGGACAAATTAAAGCAAGCAGCTCGGAAATTAGCTGGAGTGCTGGACCCCATTAGCTCCTGAGGTGTCTTCCATGATGATCCAGTAAATTTAGGCCTTGAAAACTTGTAAGCCAGAGCTACCATAGGATTATGACACGTCACATCTGGAGACTTTTGGGAGGGAAAAATACAATAATGGTATAATAACACTGCTGATTAGCGGAAAAAAATATTCTTCAATTTAAATTAAAAATTATTATTTAGTTTGAAATTTCATTTAGTACAATTTAAATTAAAAATGAAATTTCAAACTGAAGAATAATTATGGGACGGAGGGAAAATAATGATGACTACTGAAATTATATTATGACTGTTTACGAAAAGAAAAAAAGAAACTATATTATGACTAATTATTTTTTTAAATACCACATTAATGCGATTTGTGTATTTTTGCGTGCGGGTAATAATAATCCAATACTTTTACTAGATACAACAATATAATATTTGAAGAAATTCATTACACATATAATAGAATGTCAGTAAATTAATAATCTATAAATTAATAACTTCTAATAATTAATAATTTTTTCCGGTCCCAATTAAGAACCAGTACAAAAAAGTGAAAAAAATCGATAAAATGATAAGATAATAATGTTTTAAAAAATTTTCTATATCTATAGGTTCCAACAATACCATAAATTCATAAATACCCTAAAAAAATAATAATAAATATAAATAGTTAGTGAAATATGAGCTATTAATACTTATTTTTTTAGTCCTTGGAAATTATATGAATTATGTATGGCTCTTTAGTGTTCAATATAGTTTTAATACTTAAATGATCCAGATGTAAAAATAACTGCAAATTAAGTAATTTAGTGATGATTATTTTCGTCTCACACAAATTCTTCAACTTAATAATTTATTAATTTATTAATTATTTAATAATTTACTAAATTAATAAATTTGGGTGGTCCAAACACTATTAATTTATAAAAGTTCTACTATATAATCAGTATCGTTATATTACTCGGAATAAATATGAACAAACAAACCTTAAAAATGACAACATTATGGTAGAAATGTTGGCTCAAAAAACAATATTATGATAACACAAATGTTATTGATCAAGGAATTAATATATTGATTATATAAACTGAAAATGCGTATGATTTCTTGGTTCTTAGGAACACCCAAACGAAAATTTTATGTTGTGATTCTTTTTTTTTTAATTAAATAAAAACCCAAAAATGACACAAGGATATTATGAATAGTTGAATTCAAAATTCAAAGAATAACGCGTAAAAAATATGGAAAATGTATGCAGCTGACTCACGGCGAGCTCGTGAGGAGTGGGATAAAGATCCCAAGTTACCCAATTAACCTCTCCACAGCCACCACATTCCAATGCCAAAATATATACTCCTATATACACGAAACAGAGCTTATCCATAATAAAACACCCACATTCTTTATTCAAAAAAAAAAAAAAAAACTCAATGATTTATTAACCCTTATAAAGATCTCATTGTAATCCTTATAAAATGTTGTATAGCCAGAAGGACCAAAACCCAAAATCAGCATCATTATTGGCTCACGCATTTCAACCATAAGAAAGACCAATCCTTATGGTTCATGCACCTAACAGTTGAAAAGAACTTCAACAACACCAAACAAAACTGTTTCAAAGAGTAATTGTTTTTGCTTCCAATTGATATATATATATATATATATATTTGATCAACCACCACCCTTTTCCTGATTCCCTAACATACATTTTACAATTTTTAATTTTTTTTTTTTTGCCCCTCAATTTGTTCTTCCCCTGAATTTTGTTTTGATATGATGGCAGCTGCTAGTGGTCGGAATAGCTTCTTCTTCTTTGGTAAAGGAGGAGGAGGAGGGGATAAAAGAGTTAATCCCGTGATTAGTTCTCCCGATGAGGCGGAATTAGAGTTGGAGGAATCCGATGTTTGGAACTCCGGGGACGGCTCTGTTTTCTCTGATCATCAGATGCAAGCCGGCCGGAGATCCTCCGTGGCCAACAACGGTTCCTCGCGTGGATTGAAAAAACCCAACAAGAAGCCAATCAGTGGCGGCATTAGTGCTAACTTCGCCGGCGGGCAAAGGGGGCCGGCGAATAATATGGTGGCCACGTCGTTGCCGGTGAACATACCGGACTGGTCGAGAATTCTCGGGGAAGAATACAGAGAGCATAAAAGAGAAAGCGAGGATGACGTGGACGACGACGACGATGAGGATCAGGAAGACGATTACGGGAGGTTACCGCCGCATGAGTATTTGGCCAGAATCAGAGGGTCTTCGTTTTCAGTGCACGAAGGTGTCGGAAGGACGCTGAAAGGCAGAGACCTGAGTCGGGTCAGAAACGCGGTTTGGAAGCAGACAGGTTTTGAAGACTAGCATTGTTATTATTGTGATCAGGTTTGGTAGGAAAATTTAATTATTGGAGTAGTAATTATTAGTAAAATAGTTGAGTTTAGCAATGTTCAGTTTTCTTTTCTTTTTCTTTTTCGGAATCCTAAGTCGGAGATGGAAGGTAAAATCAGTAGATCGTTTCAGATTTTGAACGGCGATCTACGGCGCTGTTAGTATTGTTTAGTTCTTTCGCTCTTTTTTTTCGGGTTTTAAGGACGTATTATTGTGTCTTCTCATCTGAGCCCACTTTTGAATCCTTCAATTTTGGGGACTTTTTTGCTGGTAGTTTCAGTTCAGAGGATTCAAAAAATTAGGAGCTCTCTCTGTATTGTAATTTCATTTTTTTTAATTAACTAATGTATTTTGTTTTAGACTTTTAGTTTGAGTGTGTTTGATGGACGGCAATTATTGACAAAACTCTTGACCTTTAAACTGGTATTGCATTATTTTGCATGTTTCAGATCGCTGCATATTTCAAAATGACGCGTACCATTTTGCGGCAAGAAATTGTCTTTTCTTGCATTAGTTTTAGAATGGGCAAAAAAAATAATCTGGGCAAATCTCAGTGTACTGATCAAGGAATAATTACTCATCAAATAACTTAAACTTTTATCCGATCAAAACCAAATAACTCACGAATATTCGATGTCTTAAAATCTGGGTATTGTTTTGCCTGGGCAAAATTCTTCCAAGTTGCGCATTTCTTACGAATTTGGGGCAAATTGTTGTTGTTGTTGGATCCGGAAAAACGTGGGATCAAACAACATTGTCAGAGAGATTGTAAAAACGCCTGAGATAAGACAGTAGATGGCGGTAGAAGCGAAGGGCCGGAGAAAGGGAAACACTGTGACACTAGTTCTCTCTTTGGATTTTATGCCTTTCAAGAAATGTTAGGTAAGAAAACAACAGCCTATCTGTAGTACCAATAAATTCTCAACATAAAAACAACCCTTCAAGTAAAATTCAAGCCCTTTTTTTGTTCTTCAATTATTTTCACTTACTGTTTAGAGATAGGGATGGAAACAACGAGGAGGGTTTTCTTTTTCTGTTCTCTTATTATTGCTTTATAGATGACGTGAATGAAGTGACATTGTGATTGATCCATTAGGATATGTCCTCTATCTTCTTCTTCTTTTCTTTCTTTTCCTGTTTTTTTTTTTTTGATATCTTTGGTAGGCAGTGGGTACCAAAACTCTATCTAATCGACTGCATGGTGTGTTTGATAAGTACATCATCGTTTTTCCCAGTGTTATACGGTTCTTGTTTTGCATTTTGGCTTAATTTTCTGGTTCTTGTACTTTCCATATTATTATATGATTTACATTTTCAATACATTCAAAGTTGTTCCAAACATCCAAACACTATATCATAAAATTCAACCTGCGTGAATAATTTGTTCCGTTTCTGAAAATATCTCAAATCATCAAATGCATGCATTGATTAATAAATGAATCTTGTAAGTTGTACAATATGATGAAATCCTCACTCTTGCGGGGTTTTTTTTTTTTTTTTTCTTTATATAATATTATAATGTAACTTTAACTCATTTAAATGATGATGAAAGTTACCTTTATTTATAAATAATTAGCTAGCTAGGAAGAATATATTATTACGAGGAATACATCGATCATAGTTTAAAGTTTAAACTAGTGCTCTAATAAACATTTGTATCACCAAAACATAAATTTCAAAAGTTTTTATGGTGGCGGAAGGGACCAGTAAGAGCGGTAATCTCTTACATAATATTTTTTATATTGGAAGACTCTTTAATTTTCTTTTAGTATATATTTATGAAAACTTTTATTTTGCCCGTAGAATTTTTTTTTTTACAGTACCTTTTCTCCCAACAGTTAATTAGTTAGATCCTTCCTCGCCATTCTTACATATCTTAAAATTCCAAAAGTACGGCCATGGCTATTTCAACAGGCATTTAACTTGCACGTTAAAAACTACTCGAAAAAGAAAAAGAAAAAAAGAACTTTGTCAATTATGAAACTCCGAATAGAACAGTCATGTTACGAACAAAATTCGCAGGACATTGGCTTCAACAGCCCAAATTAAACTCTCTCGTTCCTCGTCGTCTTCGACTGTCGATATTGAAATGAAATTTATAATAATAAGCAGAGTGTACCCAATCCTCTGATTGGTTTTGAGTATCAATTCAGTTCATATTGTTATTTTACAATTAAGCAAGTAATGCCTTTGTGACATTCACTCGAACATGAATTACTTGCTAAAGTATTTCGGTTTGATGTTTTTCATGGTTTTCTTTTATCATCATCATCATCACAAATTTTGTATGGTACATTATTGTTGATAATTAAATAATGGATTAGTATCAATATAAATTTTACAAAATGATTATCCTTTTGATAGTATGTATGTTAATAATAACCTAGAAGTAAACTGACCATATGATCCCATCTAGTCTTTTTAGTTCATTTTGTATGTCTCATGTCTTGTAGTACGTATATGTTTTAATAATATACTGATTATTATATACATATAAAGGGGAATGTAGCACACAAAAGATATCAAATTAACACAAATTCAAAATCTAATCAATAACACAAAAAGCATTTAACCGCTCCGAGGAATTATTGCCCACAGCATATTGTCGCATGCATGATTGCCCACCCACAGAATAAATAAGCGAACAATGTAGTAACTCTAACAGGAAAAAAATAAAAAAAATAAAAATCGGCCAGGATAACAATGCAATCAAGAAAGTAAAAAAGAAAAAACAAAAATCCAATTAGAGTCAGTCAAATAAACAATTGAATACCAACATTTTGTAGTAACTTCTGCGTTGTTAATGGTGATGGAACAATAACGTCAACATCTCTCAGAGGGAGCAAGAACAAAGAAGACACTTCACAAACCAAATCTAACGTCCACCCACAGATTGGGTTAAAGGTAGTATGAGACTGTAGATTATAAGACTATTAAAATTGAGAATTCGGCCTGGAATCTGGATACGTCATTTGTTGTTCGTACGTATTGCTAATTAGGCAGCATCAGAAGTTAGCAGATGCGAATTAATATTTTAAAGATTAATTTCATCATCAATTTCACAAACCATGTGATTGGACACCACTTGATCATCTTCACAATTTATTACTACTTCCGTCTTGAAATTATATTAAGAATGAATAATCATTTTGGGATGACGAAAGTTTAATTGCAGAGATACAATGTAGTAAAAGAAGGGCATGCAGTGAGCTGGCTATATATTTTTGCCCAATCGCAGACTTTGCAATTGGCGTGCAATTAAACATGGACGATCGCCATCCATCTAATCTCATTTTGACGATGACCATCGTTTTTGTGGTGTCTAATCATTGTTCATCAACATCGTTTTTGTTAGCTAGGGGCTTTATTGGAGATGGAATCCTCAAATTCTCCAACCGAGAGAGATTCATAATTTCAACATACTTTAAAATATATGTCATGAAGCAAAATTTGTACTCCACAGCTCTGAGTTAAATGCCGGCGGAGCAAACTGCCAAAATTTTAAATAAGTATCCTTCTCATTTATCAACTTTTTTGTTGCTCAAAATTTTTAAAATTTAGTGCCCAAGCAAATAGTTTTAACGCCATTTGTTTTGTTTTTTTATAACGCCGGAATCTCACCAAAAATGGGTAGACCCAGACCCACTGCAATAACCTACAAATCACAGTAGAAGGTAAATTATTCTACGCAAGCCCATAGTGACTAGTTCGGGTGCGAAATCGGTGTTTATGAGTGGGTTTATCATAACAAGCCTTCTAGGGGTACTAATTGGCAATGTTAGAGCTACCCGTCACTCTTGTTGAGATGAGGGTTTGAACTCATGACTTCCTCTTAAGAGCAAGGGTAGTTTTACCACTAAACCAACACCTCATTTGCCCATTTGTTTTGTTTTATTAATGACGATGTTTTACTTTTTGAATGATTTATACTAAAAATTTTAAACAACCATTTTGTCTGAAATATGTGATGCTAGCCTGCTTTTAACATGAAGCCTATGGGCCTTTTGCTTCGAACTAATGGGCTATCAATCCTTCCAAGGTTAGAGTGTAGACAGTAGAGATATTTACTTTGATCAAAATGGGCTAGTTATGTGGTTCTCTTTTGTAAGCCAGTTTTCAAAACCAGCCGCTTCCTGATGGTAAAATTATTCACGAAAACGGAGGATCCAAATGCTACTTCAAAACCAGTCGACATTTCCTTCATCAGAAGACAAGGCAAAGAGGTTGCTGATACATTAGCTAAATTAGGATTCTCAGCCTCCAAGAATGCACATTTTCAATACTCCCCCAAATATAGTACTTAAGTAAATTAGATTTTGATAGATCAGACTCTTCCCCTTAAGTCGCTCTTGTACACCAAGCGTAAAACTTCCCCAGTATATATATAAAAAGAAAAATCATGAAAACTACTACATGGTGTCAATTTACGAGGCACAACTAGAATTTAGGAAGGAATTAGTAGTTTTCAGTCCGTTTGAAGCTTTGATTGGACTTTTGCATTTTTTTTTGCCTCCATAAAATGTAACACTATTTGAAATTGATTGGGCTATTAATATCCATGGTTGATTAGTACTAGTATCACGTACTTGTCGTTACTAGGCAAAGAGTCTCACAATGTTACCAAGAATACAAATCATAGCAAATAAGATAAGATATACAAAATTTGTGATAGCTCATTTAAAATCATGAAAGAAAAAAGAAGATGAAAATGTGATACATGTTTAGCGTGATTAAGAAAATTGCCCCTACCTACTCATTCAATTATTTTTTTACATTTATTTTTTGTCTTAAAATACAAAACCGAACAAAGTTAGATAGGTATGGAAGAGAGAACGCGTAACCCAGATTGCAAAGAAACCACGCCTTTCAAAGTTGTTTTTGGTAATTTGACAGAGGGCTTGATTTTGACCATGACTTTGAAAGGCGTGACCCGTCAAATCCCTTTTATATATATTTTGATTTCTCTCCCCCGAAAATAAATTACTTCCACAATTGACACAGAGATGAGATGAGAGAAGAATTGAAGAAAGAAAGGGGTTTACGATACTTGATAGGCGTAGCTGGGGCGGTGCTGTTGTCATACTTCGTCAGCAATGGAGTAGTAGATATGTTCTAGGTGCGATTGTTCGATTAAAGAGCTAAGAGAGAACCCCGATTCAGCCGATTATTCTGCTGCAAAAGATAAAGTTTAAGAGAGAAAAGAAAATGCTGGGGTGGAAGACGAAGCAGATTTTAATTGCTTTGGCAGTGGTTATGTTGGTGGCAATGGCTGCTTATGTCAAGCTTTGGACTATTGCTTATCAAATATCCGCCACCGAAGCCGCTGCGTTAAGGTTTGCGACTTCCTTCTTCCCCTTTTATCCTATTCATTTCCCTTGTTTCTTGGCTTTTGTTTCCCCTTTTCTTTTTGAGATTCCGGAGTCGATGGCAAGTGGGTTCTTGAGGAATTGATCGGTCGGAGTAAGAAATGGTAGTTTTACTTGCTTGTAATTTTGTCAGTGCGGATAGGGAAGGGATCCCAAACAAGTTGAATGGCTTTGATTTATAGTTTGATATGTGTGGCATTGGGAATTTCAAGTTTGGACGTGTTTGTTTATAGATGTATCTGTTGGCTGACCACTTGTAGGCAGCAGTTTGATCTTGCCAGCAGAGAAGCCATGGATGAATCCGCTGCGTGGAGGCAGAGATTTGACACCGAGGCGGGGAAAAACCAAAGGTGCATGAAGGAGCTAAATCAGGTAGTCATTTAAGTTTGTCCTTTACTCCGGTTCATTTCTAGTTTGAACTTGCGGTCTTTTGTTTCCTGCTACTTTGTACTCTATTGTTACAAGGATCAACTGGCATTGTTGATTACTCATTCCAGCTTTAAGAACAGAATAGGGGTTTTGATTGATTGTGTTTTTAAGTGCCTTCTCACCTTGCTTCACTGCTCCATACGTTAGGCTTATGGATGATTGATCTTCAGGTGTCCCCATTGGGTGAAATGACACAACATTAATGAATGGGTTGACCAAGATATCCGGTCATTTGAGTTTAAATCATTTCCTCTTGGGTCTTTTGTCCTTTTCCTATTGAATAGGTCTCCCTGATGGAGATATAATGCTTGAAAGGGATGATTTCAAATAGAAAATGTGGATGTAATTTACAATGTGAAGTTTCCATTTTAGGTGTGGGGAGCTCTTCAACCTAGTTCTTTTCTCCTGTCTGGTTTTCTAAATGTGGTTGAAGTGCTACTGTTGACCTGTCCATGTCCGGTGGCTGCAAAATTTAACAAGTGTAGCCTTTTAAGTTTTTTACCGCAATGCTTAGTCTGGTTCCTTTCATTTCAGATGAAGAAATCTCGTAACTTCACAGATGTGGTTGGTCTTAACAAGAAGTTGGTGATGTTGGAAAAGGTGAATGCTCATGGCTTGGCCTTTACATTTTCATTTTTGCTCTATCTTAGGCGGCATCAATTTGAGCGTCCAAAGAAAGACCACCTAGTTGTTGCAGAATTTCCAGTTACCTTTGCTAATTATTTTCGTTTTGAATTACAAGGAAAATATGGACCTGCTTGAACGGATAGAGATGTTGAAACAAGAACTTGAAGCAGAGAAGTTGAACTGCAATGCGCGGCAATAGTCATTATTGGGGTTCTGAATTAGGAACACGGAAATAGTATTGAACCAAGAAATCAAAGCAGAGAAATTTAGCTGCGGCTTTTGGGTGGTTTAGGTGTGATTCGGACATTTGTTGGATATGTTATTTAAACTGTTGGGAGGGTCAAAATGTCTTAAAAGAACCATCAAAGCAGAGCTTGATTGCGTTCATCACCAGAGTTGGTTTGTTGTTAATGTTTTTGGCCATGCTCTGAGATGTAATTGATCCACTGTAATTGATGAGTATCTGATTGGAATCGTTTTTCGAAACAGCTTGAAGCTATATAAGAGAATAGAGAACATCCCATTGCTTGGTTAGCCTCGTGACATCTGCATTTAGATTCCTGGGGGTGAATATCAAAAGGATGCCAAGCAAAATAATGTGTTTTGAGAAAACTATAAATGAACCAAACCAGCAACTTCACTGAAAACAATTTACTGGTCATGCAAATATAAGTGCTTATAACTGGAAATCAGTTCTACCATACCGCACTTAATCCAAACTAAGTGTGCTCATCAACTCTTTTCGTTGATCCAGCTGCTTCTTTAAGGATCACGGCCCGGGGAGCTTGATTCCTGAGGTTGGTTGGGTTGCAAATCGCGGAGGTGCTTGGTTAAGGTTTGCTCCAAAACTGAGGCTTTCTCTGCTTTAGTCGGGGAAGGAATTTTGGAAGAGGCTCCAAGATCAGCACTTTCTTGGTTCAAAATGGCTGCTTCAGTAGTAGGAATCGGGTGGCTTGCCCCAGCACCAGAAGTAGATTTCTTCCTAGGTTGACTACTCTAAAATTCAGAAATAAAGCCTCAAGGGGTTAACTGTTTATTGCTGGGAAAAAGTTGAAAGCTGATATAAACAAAGATGCTAAAATAGGTAAGTTTCAATTAAGTGGAAGGGGAAGCGAGAGGAATCATACAGAAGTTTTTCGACGTTTTGGGAGTTGGGTTATGGCGTCCATCATATCCATCAACTCGTCAAACTGGAAAAAGAAACGCAGAAACAAGGGTTCATGATGCATAGAAAGGCGATGCAAACAAGCAGGAAGAGAAAACCGGATAAAATCAAATCAGATGACCCCAATGAAGAAAGACATCTGAGCTAAATTTACATTTGCAAAACCGTTGATTTTCAGTTAACATTAAGCAAAGAGGAACATGCGTGCAATCGCAGAATAGTTTTTATCAAGTGCCATTACAGATACGTTGGCTAACACATTAAGTTGATGATGATGAAGACGAAGCACACCTGGTTCACAATTTTATCATATTTCCTGAGACATTCATGTTGCCTTCTTTCATTCGCGCTTTCTTCCTCCCTCCACTTCAACTGTCCTCCCATTCCGCTTTCTTGGTCTTTGGATGTAGTCATTATGTTCAAAGCATTTCCTTCTACAATTCACAGTAACTTTCCTTTAATGTGAGTCTAAATATATATGGCATGAGGGATGGGTCGAGTACAGCATGAGCTCTTTTGCTGGTTCTCAAAGTTTTGTTTGCATCAGTTACGCCTTCGAATCTGTCCAGAATGGTGAGGCGTTATATTATGACCAATGCGACAACAATTGACCACAAATGGAATGAAATAGAAATACAAGCAAAAGCATTAGACTCAGAATCCAACTCAAATCAAGCATTAACTGAAGCGTACATGTACTATAATAGCAAAATAGCTAATAATTAGAGACTGCATTTCGTGCAGAATCTCTCTATTCAAGTTCCCAAAAAGAGTCCGATATTGGCATATTCACAATGGTTAGCAGGTTAATGAAAAGGATAATCCAACATCAGCCTTTCCCATACTTGGTGGGGTAGAGGGTATTCCTTCCCACAATATACACCACTTTCACCCTATTTCTATATAGAAGCTAGAGACCCAAAGTTTGCGAAAAATGATCGATAAGCAAAAGAACAACTAAGGAAAGCCATAGCTGTAGCTGACATGAATCTCTTGCAATGATTTACGTTGCATCTACCAAGATCATTACCGATAAGGACTGTGATGCCAGCAGAAGCACAGGCAGCAGCAAATGTGAGTGTGGAGGTAATCTGCGCATGGAACAAAGTATTCAGATCCAGGAGGATGGATAAAAAGAAAAAGAGCACGACAACTAGCACAAGAATTGTGCAACCCGCAGCATTTTATAGTTGGTACAGAGGATCCTAGCATCAAATGCATACAACACATTTGTACCACAAGTCAGAGAATGAAAACAGCCAAGTAGAATCCCCTTATTACTAGTATTTAAGCTAAAGAGAGGTATAAAGCATGAGCAATTGATAACGTTCAAGACATCAGATATTGATTCCAGAAAATAAAAAGTAGAAGTTTCAAGAATACAACAATAACAAGCCTTTTTTCCTACTAGGTAGGCCGCTATATGAATTACATGTCGCCATAGTGCTCGATCGTTACATAAATCATCTCTCAAATTTAAATATTTCAAATCATTTTTTCATAGTCTCTTTCCAAGATTTCTCAGGTCTACCTCTACCCCCTCTTAATTTGAATTCTTGATTCTATAGTTTCTACCCTCCTAACCGGGGCCTCCACCGGTCTCCCACACCCATGTCCGAATCACCTTAAGCGGTTTTCTCTCATTTTCAAGAATGACAAAAGATATTTGTACGCTTCCAAACTAAGCATGTACGCATAATCAAGTCTTCAAGACTATCCTCATAAGAACGAAGTTTTGCTACCTGGAGAAAGATCTCCTCTGCTTTATAAATAAAATAAAGCATGTGAGGATCGGCAAAATTCAAATTTCATATTGATGAGACCATATCATGGAAAACATTATCTCATCTCAAAAAAGCTTTCAAAAGTGACAATGAAAAGATCAAATTAACTACAGCCACATTCGTACCAGAAATAAAATTTGCATGGTTACTAGAAACATATAAATAATGCAACTTATATGATTTCTGTAAGGCAAACATCAACTACATTCACTAGCCAGAGGGTGAGATTTGATAAAACAAGTAGATTGCTTTCAGTCCGGAAAGAGCTGCTATGCTTGACAAGTTAACAACTTAACATTGCAGGTATGCAACAGTAGTTAGAGCTTGCACTGGAGGAACAACAAAAATTAGACCAGTTGCACTAACTCACGGTCAAATGATCAGTGAATTCTTGACATTCTAAATGTTTGAAAATCAACAAACACAAGCATCAGACTCATTGTCCAGAACCAAACCCTTGAAAATAAAAGGAAGAAATGTTGATGGAAGTAAAACTGGTATTTCTTACCCCATCACCAATAGTAAATAAACTGAGTACTCTGACACTCCTGAAACTTCTTCTCACTGATAGAGCATAAATATCAGCAATTGCCAGCAGCAGGCTCCACAAACTTTGCAGGCTAACAGCAGCAACAAGGTATCTAAAGCACATAAAAGAACATCTAGTTATCTTGCATCTTTCGCGACACGGAAGTACAGAGAATAGTAATTGGAAAACATAGCATCATTCTTGTAAATAGAAAGGACTAACTGACGAGAAATCTATCACACAGAAGGCGTACATGTTTTGGTCACTCCAAAGTGACAAACAAATGCAACGGTAAGTAGAACCAGTCGCACAAGTAAGACATAAATTGATTGTTTAAGACTTGATTGTTTATGCATCACAGGAAAACAGCAAATCCGGATTGCTAATGCATAACAAAACTGATGAACACAACAAAGCACCAATTCTGACCTACCATACCTTGAAGAGCTAATCCCTTTGACCAAAATTAAACTATCTTAAGCCTTTAAAAAAAAATTAACAAAATTGATCAATTAAAACATATAATAACGCAGTAATTAAAAAGGGCAAGTTCTAGCATGAATGCAACTATCAGTCAAAAACTAATTACTGGAGCCAAATGAAACCCCTGAACAGTATTTCCAGAGACAGTAAATGGGTTGCTTAGCAAGATAAAAAAGAACTGTTAGAAGGGGAAAAAATGAAAAACCTAAAGGCGGTGACAGAGGGAAAATCGGAAGTGGTGGCCATGACACACAGAGATATGAGGGCGAAAACGAACTGGAAGAGGCGCAGAAAGAGCCCACACGGGGTACCATCCGCACCTCGACAGTCCTTCATCCTCGTCGCCGCCGGGGCTTCAATGGTGATCGAAGAAGAGTCCACTGGATGCACCGCCGGTCTGCTCATCATGGTCCTCTTTTTCTATACGCCCCCGAACCCCAGTTACAAACTAGCAATTTTCACGGCTCACCGGCAAATGCACTCAAGTATCGCTTGAGGAGGTTTTGAGTTTACTTACACTTCATCTTTAAGAGAGACATGGATGTATCCGGTCAATCTACAGTTAAAAAGCATTTTGCAGCTTTTGGCGGCCGTTGCCCTCGATGAACTGCGAAACCAGGTTTCCCCAAAAGCTTTAATCAGTTTGTTTCTGCTTCTCTTTACCCGCGAGAATCCTAAAGATTAACGTTAATAAGGCCGGTCTAAAGATAGTACTAAAAAAAAAAAAAACCAAAAAATAAAGGAAAGAAGACGGAAAAAAATGCAATGGGGCACAAATAGTGCAAGTTATGTGAAAGCTCAGGTGTTAAACTAAAGTGGTATATAAGACCCGGCGTGAGATCTCTCACTTTAATCAAAACTTAATTCCTGATGACGGATCATTAAGCCACTGAGAGTTCATAAAGATTCGATAATTTATTTATTTATTATTTGATTATATGGTATTTGATATCATTGCTCCAACTAGTACGGCTAATGAGGTAGTACCTCCATTCTTATATTTTTAAGAGGTTTTAAACATATTTTCTTCATTCTTTTTTATAAGAAGTTTTACATTTAAAAAAAAATATTTAACGACTTTGTTTTTCTTTACCTTCACAACTAAACAATTCAAATATTAAGTCAATTACTTCATTAATGTTATGAAGGACAATTTGGAAAATTTACAACAATTTTGAGACAAAAAAAACTAAATTTTGTTAGTTTTATTGGTTTATGTAAAATTAGTTAACTTCATCTTATACTCCAAATAAGAATGGAGGTAGTGTTTATATCTATAATATTATACTAAAAGAGAAACCAAAGAGATAAACAAAATCAATTTCTAAAGGTGACACAAAGGATAAAATCATATGTGTCATTTTTTTAACAAATAACAAAAATAAAAGTTTACGCAATTATATAAAAAGTTCTTGGAATTTTATATAAATTTTTTTACCACATCTCATTTAAATTATTAGTTACAAATGAAAAGATGAAAAAATGGTCATAATGGTGATCAATTATCAATTAATGCGATAAAATGAATATGGGAGAATGATAATAATCGTGATCAATTCAATTAATTATCAACTAATATTTTAATCAATTAGAAATTGGATTCCAAGGTCATCAGATACCCAATGGCTAATCATGTATCTTTCATTAAGAAAAACTTTGGAATAATTGGGATAACAAGCCAATACAACCGATTATTTTTTATTAACATGACAGTCAATTTAAATGGAAATTAACATTGTCAATCAATCAATCCGTAATTAAAGATTTATTTTAGAATGGGATAAAAACCAATCATTAATTAGGCAAAAAAATCATTATTGTGAAATCCAAACTCAAATACTCGATAAAAACATATCCTCACAATTAAATGGTAAACATCACATTGGCAATCTCCTCTTTTTTTCTTTTCTTTTTTTTTTTAAAAAAAATCAATGCCATATTTACGTAGGTTCGGTGAAAACATATTTAAATAGTATTGAACCGAGTAAACTACCCTTTACATCAATATCTTCAGCGGCAGCAAGGTAGATTTTTTTGTGTCTTTGATTCAATTTCCGAGATCAATCTTTATGGACTAATATGTTTTTGTTAGTTTAGTCTAATAAATTGTTTTGATAATTTCTTCCACAGAATAATTTTTTTTCCCATGTGTAGAGATTCAATGGAAGAATTTCATGCAACTCTACAAATACGGGTGTACGAAGGTTAATGATGGAGAAAAAAAGTATGGAATGAATTCATCAGGTTTGTTTACTTTAGTAAATCCATTAATAATTACTTCGTTTGCGTGTGAATGATTCATGTCATGTCACCAGTATCTTCCATGAACATTAACGTCAAATAAAAATCAGTACATGCTAAACGGGTTTTTAGTAGTAACAATTATTTCATATATTTGACTTTACGTCTGCAGATGTTAGGACCCATCTCTGAGGTATCGGGATTCCAATATTTCCATAAACAATGCCAAGAGGTATTTCTAATTTTTCAAGTTTTCGTAGCAAGCTATACACTGAAGGAAGAAAATTTTTCTGCTGAATTTTATTTGTTAATTTGAGTTTTCATTGAAGGTATTTATTAGAATATTATTTTTTTTAGAGTGAACCTCAAAACAAGTCATCAACCTTTAATATATTTCCACTCTAGGTCATCAATTAAATTTATTTGTAACACAGGTTACCTTACTAAAGTTTTAATCCATTTCAGATTATTCTGTTAATTTTGGCCATTAAATAGTGACAGAAATCCGTTTTTCATATGTTTTTGGGTTCAGGTGTATTTTTGTCATTTTTTTAATTTTTTAATCTTTTAAATTTTTTTTTTTACAATTCTTCTTCTTATACTTCCTAACTTGTATATACTGGTAGTATAATTATAAATTTTAAGAATTTATTTTCCTTTTGTATTTTAACTTCTAGATTATAAATTTTTTTTTAAAAAAAATTAGAAATGAAGAAAAAAACTTCGAGTTAAAGTAAACATGAAAATAAATAATTTACCATTTAAAAAAAGAAAAATTAAAATAATTAGCTAAGACAAGTTGTTTCTTCTAGGATATTTAATTTTTTTCAACTCGATTAGGATTATTTAATTATTAATTTTTATGTTTCTTATTCATTTTTTTAATATCTACAAGTTAATATACAAATAAAAAATTAATTTTTAAAAATGAATTTGTTTGTCATTTTTATCTTAACTTCTAGATTATAAAAAAAATGAATAAGAAACGTGAAAATTAATAATTAAATAATTCAATTGAGTTGAAAAAAATTAAATAACCTAGAAGAAACAACTTGTCTTAGCTAATTCTTTTAGTTTTTCTTTTTGTTTAAAATGATAAATTATTAATTTTCATGTTTACTTTAAATCGAATTTTTCTTCTTCATTTCTTAAATTTTTTTTAAAATTTTATAATCTAGAAATTAAGATACAAAAGGAAGATAAATTTTTAAAATTTAGAATTATACTACCAGTGTATACAAGTTAGGAAGTATAAGAAGAAGAATTGTCAAAAAAAAATAAAATTAAAAGATTAAAAAATAATAAAATGACAAAAATATCCATGAACCCAAAAGCATGTTAAAAATGGATTTCCGTCACTATTTAACGGCCAAAATTAACAGAATAATCTGAAATAGATTAAAACTTTAGTAAGGTAACCTGTGTTACAAATAAATTTAATTGATGACCTATAGTGAAAATATATTAAAGGTTGATGACTTGTTTTGAGCTTCACTCTTTTTTTTTTTAAATTGGTTTTGCAGAAAAATGGGTATTGGGATTTTACAAATTAATTCACTCGAGAGACAGGCATACAAAAGCTTGTGAAAAATACCATATATACTACAAAGCGTGTAAGATCAAAGCAAGTTGTTGAGACTTGAAATCACTCCATAAAAAGCGTACGCAATAGATGATGGCTAATTACCTTAGCTTGGGAAAGAAAAGAAAATAAGTCAGTAAAGAAAAGAAAATAAGTCAGCTTATTGATTAGTGTTAGTCTAAAGTAAAGATGCACAGTAGTGCAATTTAATTTGTAAATTTGTATTGTTTTAGTACAAATTTTTAAACAAAAAACGCACTATATATTTTTTTTTGGACATAGTGGATATTATATTTTTTTTCAGTTGGAACATACAAGATGCAACAAGATTTTAATTTCTTTTAAATATATTTGTTTGATACTATATACTCACCTAATTATAATTTTTTTTGAAAAAAAAAATTGGGATTGAAAGTATTCTGCAACCTATAAACGAAAAAGTAGCAAGCGACATTTTCTCCACAAAGAAACAAAAATGACAGTTTAAACTCAAAGTTTGTTAATCAAGAAATAATATTGAAAGAAATGATTTCCAATATCTTTTCGGATTTTGAGAAAAAATAACTAATTGTTAATCCTATGAAATTTTTGGTATGGATTCACTAATCAAATCCATATTAATATTGGTTCAAAATTTTCAATGATAAACATTAATATAAATGGTTTTATTGTATACGAAGATTATGTAAGCTAATTTCTCCATTGACAAGTTGTTTTTCCGATTTTCATTTTATCGAATGATGAAAAATTATAAATTACTTTTCTTTTGTTAATGAAACTAAGATAAAATTTGTCCAAATGAAATAATTTATAACGGGGCTTATTTCGTTTTTCAAATCATAATACTTTTTGTTAACCTACAAGGACTCTTTACTTTACCATAAATATCTTTGTATTACCATTCGAGTCGACACTGAGTGGGTGTAGCACATATTCTCCTTTATTTGAACGAAAAGAAACTCATTCTTTCTAAAATTTGCAAGTCCGACTATTGGATCCTCTTATCTATATGGGTACGGAGTCCATGTAGCTTAGACTTTTTATACTCTTGCATGGTGTCAAGAACAAAAACATTCATTTCATGGAATTTTCTTTTATTCAAAATTTTAATAATTATTATCATAAATTATAATTTATGTATGCGATTAAATTTTACAAATAGTTCATAAAATATTACAATCTAGTCCGCACATCGTGCAGGTTTAAATAATATATATACTTTAATAACTCGGGTTGAGATTTTATATTGGCAAGTGATTTTGCCACAACACTTTCTAGCATCCACAACACCCTTATGATGTCAAATCTATCTTCCTCTATTGTTTTTTGTTTTTTTTCCCCTCTTCTCTCTCTCGTATCCTAAATCGTATCTCTTTTCTTTTCTACCCTCTGTTGCTGCAGCCATAATAAAATTTTTATTAATTTTACTAGGGACAATAAGAGCATCACAACAATGATATTTTCCTCCCTCTTGGCTCTTGCAGACAAATTTTTTAAAATTTAAATTTAGAGCAATTTCAGAAATATTTGAATGATATACTCATAAGTCATAATCGAGATGTTTGAAGACTAAATCGCTATTGTCATCTACTAACACCATAACGAAGAATAAAGATGACTAAGTTCTATGCTTCAGTATGATTGATTTCAATAGTTTAATTCATTTGGTTGAACTTCATCATTGCTTGGGTTTGCTTACTTATGGATTTTGATCTGCAACTTTTCGAACCAATGAGTTTTCTTTGGAGGGGAGAGGAAGGTGTAAGAGTGGGGGTGGTATTAATTTGGTGTCCTAGTTTTCAGATTGAGTTTTAAACAAGAAAGATATACATTCACTAAGTGATCTTTCAGAAGACACAATTACTCCCTATAATTTTCCATTGTCATGATTTTTTATAATCCTTCGCTCTAGTATTTGATATGCCCGTAAAAATTGTAGATTTGAGCGAAAATTATGAACGCAGTGGGCGACTGTTTGAAATTTTGCGCAAGCTGTAACATTTGAGACACACGGCAATCTACAGGGATTCTAACATAGTTTTCGTTACTGTTAGGCCCTTGAAATGGATAATTCGACAAGTGACTTCACCTAACGCCCAAATAAAATCTGGATAGGGATGCATTGAGAACACTCTTAGGCCCCGTAACAAAAAGGATAAGGAAACTGAAAACTGCAAAAGAACTCTTTTGGTTTGGCCCTCTGAATTCTGAAATCTGAATGGATCAGTTTCGACTGCTAAATTGATTGCTCTGAAGTTGGAGCTTAAATCACATTCCTAGTTCACCGACTAAGTTTCTGATTTTTATGTATAACTTCTTCAGGGTGTAAGCATAAGCATACCTATAAATTTATGCTTCTGGAACTCTAATAACAACATTGTGATATCAACAGTCATTTCACATTTGACAAAAATGAGGATCAGTAGATATATTGATTATGTAATCTCTGTAAATTGCACGACACTCAGAATCTCTATAATCAAGTACACAAACAGAATCCGATACAGGCAAATTCAACAATGGTTAGCAGGTCAATGAAAAGGATAACCCCAGCACCCAACATATTCTGAACTATACTTGGGGGGCTAGAGGTTTTTCCTTCCCACAATATACAGCACTCTCACTCCATATCTATTGAGAAGCTAGAGACCAAAAGTTCAAGAAAAATGATGGAGACACTGAAAACCAACTAAGGAAAGCCATAGCTGTAGCTGACATGAATCTCTTGCAATGATTTACGTTGCATCTATCAAGATCGTTACCGATAAGGACTGTGATGCCAGCAGAAGCACAGGCAGCAGCGAATGTGAGTGTTGAGGTAATCTGCACAAGGAACAAATATAGTCAGGTCCAGGAGCATGGATCAAATCAGAAAAATGCATGACAACTTATGCAGGAATTGCACAAACAACAGCATTTTATAGTTGGTAAAGAGGATCCTTATGTCAAATGCAAACAACAAATTTGTACCACAATTCAGAGAAGGAAAAGAGGTCTAAATTATGAGAAATTAAAAACATCCCATTTTGATTCCAGTAAATAAAAATTATTAGTTTCAAGAATAAGAAATATTTGTATGCCCCCAAACTAAACTGAATTCACCTTGGCTGTCAAATGTGAGTATAACCAGTTAGAAATTGGATCCTCCAAACCTATTTAGATACGATAAGCATACCTAGAGATAAGGTGGAAGAGATGCAGATTGTTGCATAAAAAATGAAGTGTAATGGTGTTGTTCCTTCCGATTAATATACTCTATGCAGATTGTTGCTTCCAAAAAAAAAAAAAAAAACTAGTATAAGCATTTATGTACAATCAAGTTATCAAGAATATCCTCCTAAGAATGAAGTCTTACAGACCTGGAGAAAGGTTCCCTCAGCTTTGTAAATACAAGTAAAGCATGTGAGAACCAGAAAAATTCAAATTTCATAATGATCGACCACATGATGGAAAACATTAATTCATCTCAAAAAGCTTTTTAGAAAAGACAATAAGATCACATTAACAAGAGCCACATTCATAAGCCCCAAGCTGTTAATACTCAAATAAAATTTGCAGTGTTAGTGAAAACTTATTCATAATGCAATTTATAGGATTTATGTAAGGCAAACATCAAAATACGTTCACAAGACAAAGGGTGAAATTCGACGAAACAAGAAGATTGCTCGCAGTCCAGAAAGACCAACTATGCTTGCAAAGCTAACATAGCTGGAGGAACAACAAAAATTAGACCACTTGCGGTAACTAGAAATATGTTACTCATCGGCAAATGTTCAATTAAAATTCTTGACATTTTAAACGTTTGAAAATCAACAAACACAAGCATCAGACTCATTGTCGAGTAACCAACCCTCAGAAATAATAGCAAGAAATGCTGATGGAAGTGAAAATGGTATTCCTTACCCCATCACCAATAGTAAATAAACTGACTAATCCAGCACTCCTGAAGCTTCTTCTCACCGATAGAGCATAAATATCAGCAATTGCAAGCAGCAGGCTCCACAAACATTGCAGGCTAACAGCAGCAACAAGGTAGCTAAAGTACACAAAAGAACATCTAGTTATCTTCCTTATTTTGAGACAAAGAAGTACAGAGATTAGCAATCAGAAAATAGCATCATTCTTGTAAATAGAAAGGACTACCAAGAGACAATTAGACTTGGAAATCTATCACACGAAAGGTGTACATGTTTGGTGACCTCAGTTGACAAACAAATGCATTGGTGAAGTACAAACAGACTCAAGTCATGGCATAAATTAATTGTCTGAGACTCGATTGCTTATGCACATGACAGAGCTGATGAACACAGCAAAGCCCGATGGCTTATGCATAACGGAACTGATGAACAGAACAAAGCAGCAATCCTGACCTACACCTTGAAGGCTAAAGTAAAAAAGTACATCTCTCTGATCAAAGCAAATTATTCTAAGCTAAAGAAATTGACAAAATGGATCAATAAAACAAATCATAATAGTTAAAAATAGGGCATTTCAAGCATCAATTCAACTATCAGTCAAAAACTAATTACTGGAGCCAAATTAAACCCTTAAACGCATTTCCAGAAACAGTAAATCGGTTGCTTAGAAAGATACAAAGGAGGGGGAATATAAATAGGTTAAGGTGACAAACCTAAAGGCGGTGACGGAGGGAAAATCGGAAGTAGTGGCCATGACGCACAGAGATATGACGGCGAAACCGAACTGGCAGAGGCGCAGAAGGAGTCCACCGGTGGTACCAGGCATACCTTGAAAGTCCTTCATCCTCACCGTCGGCACCGCCGGGGCTTCAATGGTGGTTGAAGAAGAGTCCAACGGATGCACCGCCGGTCTGCTCATCATGGCCCTCTTTTTCTACACAAGCAATTTCCGCGGCTCACTGGAAAATGGACTGAATTCTCGGTCTGTGTGTGGACGAATGCATTAACATTAGAAAGGATTCTTTATCCAATTTTTATTTTTTTTAATGGAATCCAAGGAATTTGGGAAAGTGAGATATCCCCAATTCGTACGCAGTCAAATTATAGGACTGACGCTGACACCGCCGGCGCCGGAAGTATTGCTCCACCACTCAGCTCGGTGTTTCTGAGGCTGGCCTTCATCAGTTTCTTTACGATTTGTGTTTCAATCAAAAAAGAGGAAAGGTTATATACATGTACACTACCATAGAGTACCGAATCTTCTTCTACTACTACTACTTAAATCGGTACCCATTCTTTTTGGCCGCGATAATACTAAAGATTAACGTCAATAATTTCGCGTAAAAATTGAAAATAATTCACATTTTAAATAAATTGATTGATAATTTTCAATTCACAAACTAAAATGCATATTATTTTTTAAAGAATCATAAATAAATTTTGGATTTTCTTTTGGTGAAATTTAAATAAAGAAGAATAATAAATTTCAGAAAATATACTAGTATATTTCAAACCAAGGGAAAAAAAATTAATTTAATGACACGAAAATGCAAGGAGAATACCAGAAAAAAAAATCTATAAAATCATACTAATGTCAGTACGGGCGGTTGCCCAGGCATCATTTGTAGAAAATCAATATATAATATTTTTTAAAAAAATAATATAATTTTAATGATTATTTTGTTTTAAAATGACATTTTATTTTGTACGATTAAAAATTTCTGAGAATAAATGTTTTTGGAAATTTGATTTTAATAGATGGATTGTAGGAAATATGGATACGTAAAATTTGTGCGGTTGGAGCCTATCCTCGTAGGTTTGGGGATTAATTTTTTCTTTTGTTTAAGGATTAATTTGAAGAATTAATTTTTTTAAGAAAAGAAAATCTTTGATTTATATAGAAGGTTGCTTTTTTACTTAATTTTGGGCAGGAAAAAATTTCCTACAGCTATCTCGTGTTCTTTCTAGCAAATGCTTTAAATAGATAGATATAGAGATGGAGACAAATAACGTAATCAATATAAAAAGCTCAATTGTTAAACTAAAATGTTACGGTTGAAATTTTGTCCATTGATCTCGTTGAAATAATGACATACATAAGTGTATTTTTCGTCTATGTTACAAGAGATATTGATTAACATATAAGTTCTATGTGATACTCGTATTCTCGTCGATTGATTTTTTGGTTGAATTACGTATGGGCTTATTTGAACTTTGAAGAAGGTATCGGAATATGTTTTCGACGTGTAGTTTGTGGGTGGATTTGAGTTTTGACTAATATGAGAGTAATATGGGTGGAATTGAGTTTCACCCGTTGGCCTTTACTTACCCATTTCTTCACCTAATGCCCAAACAAATGTGGATATGGATACAAAAGATAATGCGGCTGGGCCCGTACTGAAAAAGGCCTAAGGAGTGAAAACTGCAAATGACATTTGTTGGTTTGGGCCCTCTGAATGGATCAATTTCGACTGCTAAAGTGATTTGGGCCTTTGGGGCTCTGAAGTTGGAGGTTAAAATCACATTCATATTTCTTGAAGAGGAAGAAAGAACCAAAGTGACTGTGAGGGAGTAAAAGGGACTCCTCCACCCTTAACCATAGGTCGAGAGTTTGAACTTCGTCATGGACATAAAGCAACCTTAAATACTTTTGTCAGTCAGTTGTCTCACCCATCGAGATACGGTGGACATCCTGCAAGAGATCATTGCCCCTCAAAGTTTTGCTTAATTATTCGCATGCATATTTTGCCTTTTCTTTTTGGCACTACATCTGCCTTAAAAAAAAAGTCTGTTTATTGCAAATTTTTTTTTTTTTTTAATTTTTTTTTGGACAAAGAGTAGTTAAAAAGTAAAATTGGGATGAGGATGGAACAAGCCCGTTGGTTGATTTATTGTAATAATTCAAGTTGCATTAACTTATGTCCTGCAATTAATTTTTTTGCTTACAGAGTTGCAGTGACTCATAAGAATAATAGTGCTACCACTAGTTTGTAGCTGACTTGCTGCCACAAGTAACAACTGTGAAAATTAAGAGGGTCATTAAGAAGTCATTAAATGTTGCGTGGTTAATGTAATGACGTAATCTTATTGAAGAACCCGAAACTAAACCCCACATTGAGCATGTCCTCGGATCTGTCAAAAGACTCCAAGAGTTTTCCCAAACACCATTCTACTAATCCCACCTCCCCCTCTTCTTAACTGAAAGTACAGATTCTTAATAAGAAATGAATTAATGGAACATTTAAACGAAGCAACTTTGCTTTGTCTTACGGATGTCAGTGCTAGAGAGCTCTCTACTACTATTAATACGGTAGTACCACACGTTAACTCGAAACATGTTTTTTAACCGTGATTTTGAAGCAAAGTAAGTATTGATCCCGATGCCATACACTCTTCAGGATTCATGAATTGAAATTCGTTTTCCAAAAAATAAAATGAATTCAAATTTAAAATGTAGTTTGAGATAAAATTTTAAAAGTTGTTTGGGTAATATTTTAAATAAAATAATAATATTTTTAGACCACCACCGGCGTCGCTGTCGGGTGGCGGCGGAGGTGGTCCGGTAGTTGTGGATAAAAATTATGTAAAAATAATGTTTGAAATAAAATTTAAAAAGTAAATTAAAAAGTTATTTGGATAGTATTGAATTTTATATTTGAGAGTTGTTTTAAAAGATAAAATGAGATAAAAAGGTAAAAAATAACTTGTCCAAACAAGACCTTACATTTTGAAATTGAGTGAGTATATCCATTCCCAACGTGCATATCAAACTATGGCATTTATGCATTACCAACCCAATGGATGTTGTCATCGATGAATACTGTAATACTCCTTCCGTTCTAAAATAAGTGTCGTTTTAGCAAAATAGAGAAATTTCAAAATAAGTGTCGTTCTCACATTTCAATGTACTTTTTGTCCAAATTTTTTAAAATTACTTTCAAAAGAATTAATACTATTGGTAGACATTTTTTTAATGGGGTTAGTTGAGAATATTCAAGTAATTTTATTACACAATTTAAGAGTTCCTTAAACTATGTGCAAAGTGTAGGATGACACTTATTTTGGAACGGAGGGAGTACAAATTATTACTCCCTCCATTCTAAAATATATGTCGCTGGAGGAGTTTCACAAAATTTAAGGAAATAATAAATATTTAATTAAAATACTAAATTATCCTTATTTATTCTCAATACAATTCTATTCTCAATATCATTTAATTCTAATGCGCTTCTACTTTAAATACAATCACAATTCTCCATGTAGGGACAATATTAGAAAAAGTTGACAAAATATGCTTAGATATGCGAAAACGACATTTATTTTAAAAATAATTTGTTTTCCTTCAACGACATATATTTTGAAATGGAGGGAGTATTACTTTCTATCTCCAAAAAAATAAAAATAATAATAACAATACTACAATTCACATTAAATTTCAAAATTTATATTGTTTTTAGTATAAATATTAAAATTTAATGAAATTTTTTTGTTTTTGAGATTTGATTCAATGTATTGAGGAAAATGGAGAACAAACAAATAAATGACACTTGGAACTTAGAAACTGGGGTAGTAGTTAAAAAAAAAAAAATTTTACGGTAAAGTAAAAAAGGTCAGGGGAAGTACTTACTGGCCCAGAAAGCCTGAAAGATGTTTCTTCAGTTAAAGTCCCCAGAACTACAAAAAGACAAAATACTCAATTTAAAGTAGATCGGAGTTGAGGAGAAGTGCTTGCCTTTCCCTTAATTCTGTGTTAGACATACTAAAACCGGCAGTTTGAAATTTGATTCCGACAGCCTGAAAATATTACTGCATAAATCCACTCCATCCGGATGTGAGTGGGCTAAATGAAATCTGATTTTGTACAGTAGTCTTTCATTTTATTTTCTGCAGCCTTTAGTTTTCAGTTTTCCTGATTAAGAAGTTTCTTTGCAGAGTAAAAATATGTCAGACCTGCTGGTAGCCAATATTTTCCCGCCGACAATACCTTGAGCACTAATATCTTAATCAATATCATAATCGAGTTGTTGATATATATATAAAAATTGATAATTAATTGAATTAGTTGGTGAATTGTCGAAAAATCGAAAATGGCCAAATTGATTACAATAGAAATCCCGTGGAAATTAAAACAAAAAAGAAAAAAGTGGGTTTGAGGAGACGATGGAAACAACGACGTAGGAAGGGACAACGTTGATCAAACGTTAACTTTGTTTGACTTCACGTGATCCAAGGTGCTTCTGTGTTCTGTCTGCCTCAGTCTTTTTCTTTTTCTTTTTTTCCGGTTAGGAAAATACATACAGTAGTTGCTGCCCCTGAACCCATTTTGCTCGCATATGCTGTAATCTGTATTGATAAGACTATCATCGATGACTTAAATATGCAACGGGGTATTATATTATAAGGGACAGAGCTTTTAAGATTCTGCGCTTTAATTCATAGAGAAAAAAAAAAGGATTATCGTGGAATTGTTATTCTATCTTCTTCTTTTTAGTGTCAACAGATTATATTAGCAACTTTTATTCATACATTTACCGTCGACAAAAATAGGAGTAATTAATTTCGTTGGCTGGATCCGATAAGAAAATTATAAAAAAAAAAAAAAAAACAGAGAAACAGCCCGGTCTTTGAAACGCCGCAACGCGTGCAAAAGCATAAATGGGGTTTAAGTCTTTAAGAATAAGAAAGCTGACGCTGCCCGCACGTGAAGTGATTAACATAACCTCCTTTCCATGTGGTGTGGGGTTTCCCCTCCTTCTCACGTGTGCCTAATTTTTTACTCCTACTCCTCATCAATTTCTTCTTCCTTACTTACCCGGTAGGTTTTGAATTAATTTAATTAATTAAAAAAACTCAGACCTTCCAGTTTGCTTCTGCTGATGTTTTGATAACCCACATCTCTTTGACTTTGTGTTTGCTGCTCCCACCCTTTTGGTCGTTCCTTTCGCTATTTAGTCTTTTGTTTCTTTTCTTAATTGCTTCAAGAAACAGACTGGCATTTTTAGACAGTAATACTATAATGTGTTAAATTGCAGAAATTGAGGATGACTGCATGCTGGCAGAAACTAAAAATATTTCTCTTCTAATCCCAAAATACTACCAATTCTAACAGATTCTTAAACAATTCCACCCCCCCCCAAGACTTGCACCATTTTTTTAAAACCATAAGTTTTGAAGAAGAAGAAGAAGAAAGAAATGCATGGTTTTTGGCCTTTCCATGTGACCAGTGTTCCAACCTAACCCCCCCCCAATTCTTTAGGTGTACATTTTCATTTCGGATTGGAATTGATTTGATTGAAAAAACAAAAAAAACCCACACACACATACACACGGTTTCAGGCAATTATTCAGTTGACAAAAAGAACACCTCCCATAATCTTTTGCCATCTCTGATGGGGTGATCAAAATGGTTGTTCAAAGGACATCTGTTAGTAGCCGTACGTTTGCAAATCAGTGTCTAACAATCAACATGGCCAGAATTATTATTATTAGAGAATATAAATGTTAATATTCGATCGTTTGGAGTTGGATGGCTTCCTCCTTTGAAACACAAAATTATTCCCACAAACATTAGTCGTACACGCAAGAATCAATCCATATCAACCCATCAAATCTTTTTAATCTTTCTTTTGTTCATTCTCATTCTCATTCTCCTCCACAACTTAAAAAGACTCCTCATTGATATATTTTAATAATTTAAGGACAACAAAACCACCAAATTTCTGATACCTCACGGTATCGAAATTAATCAGCTACCAAATTCATTGACCTTTGTGTGTTATCTGCTGCTGCTATTCGCAATAATATGCTCATTATTCCGCACTTTGATATTCTGAGCCCAGTTAAAACTGCTCCAAATTTCAACTGTACATAAGTGATATCAGAACTGTTTCCCTTTCATTCATTAAACACTGCTAAAATACCCTTCTTAGAAGGTTACAATTTGAAAACTCAAATAACACCGATCAAGTGTTCGTGTTCCTACAAAAACACAACATCTTCCTTCTTACTCTTCAAATCTAAACAACCTCAACCAAAACGTTTTTATTAAAAGCACTCTTGACAAGAATAAAGCAGGCGATGAACGGGGCTTTTCTAGGGTCATCCGGCTGTACAGTTAGAAGTGGATATTTTATTTCTTCTCTGTAGTAGTAGTCTTTATGCACCTACATTGTCACTGCTTGAATCTGTTAGAATCGTCAGTCTTCGTGCTGTTTTGGTGAACACACTGCATTTCCGACAGAAAAAAATATATATATTTAAGTATATATAACTGAGAAAGAAAAACTGATAAAACTTTACAGAATACTAACTCATCATAATATCTATTATAATTGGTCAACTTAATGTTTTTGTGATCATGTTGTGACTCACCTGTAGGATTCTTCACCAAGTTGCTTGACAGCTCCTGAAATATCCCGGTAAAGCACATGGTTCAGCATCTCTGAAGTTTCAATGCTGAACATATCTGCTAATTTTCCGTAAAGTTCCTCGTAGGATCCGAACAAGGAGAGGTCCAAACTGCGGCCAACATCTTCTGATTCCATAAAAACCTTACAGTGACCAGTCTCCAAGTTGGAATCCAATGGGTCACTGGATGAAGGTTCTCGTACATCTTGCAGATTAACTGCAGAGCCTGAACCATCAGAAGCGTTTCCAGCCTTCTCAGCATTACCCTCAGAAGAGCTATTGCCCGTCTGAACTGGTGAGACGGCATCACCAGAGCAACTCATTGAGATTTGCTGCTCGGTTAGTATGGGTCGACCAAAAAGAACTAATTGTGGTGCCTTCCCGTTAACTGTTTTATTTGGACTTTCGGTAGAATTTCCCATGGTCAGCAAGCATGAAACATCCTCACTGCCACTAGGCTTGGGAATGATATGATAATTGGAGTGTCCTGTTGCTGCAGCTGCATTATCAGGAGGCTGAACACCAACCGGAAAGAGACCTGATTGCAGTTTACTGAAGTGAAGATCAGATAACGATAAACCAAATTGAGCATGCCTGGCTCCCTGCATGCCAGCAGGAGTGTTGTCAACAAGACAACCAAAGGGGCTATTAGGCCCGAGAAGATGGTTTCCAGGAAAATTTGGCATTGGAATTTGTCCATTTAGGGGAAACTCCGGATGCTGTGGTAGCCTCAATTTTTTCCGTGGAGGCGAGAAGGGTGAAAGGTGAATACTAGGCATGTTCGAGACTAACTCTACAAGCCAAGGGCTCACTCTTTTCACATTTTGAAGCAAATCAGGCTCATCCCAAGCCACCTGAAACAGTTTAATAAAAATCTCAAATGAAAGTACCCAACAAAATGATTGAAGGAATAGTTTCTATCTAGTTTTTACAATGAAATTGCATCATTGCAAGATTATCTCAAAAATCTAAGTTACTATAACATTTAGTAATCCAAAGTTTGAGCTGAACTCAAAGGGAATTTCTCACTGCAAAACAGCTTATGATGAAATAAAATAACTAAATAAGACAGCAGAGGCAAGCAGCAACTGAAAACTTTGTACTTATGATCTTAACATACGCAAGAAAAAAATTAGACATCCATGAGAAGATGGACAGAATCTTCAACCTTCCCTGAGTCATTAATCTCTATCCGATACTGACATTTCCCCAAAAATTGACCACAGAAATGCTTAGAGGTTAAAAGAAGTAACGCCACAATTTGTGCGGTAATCATTCATACATAACCCCAAATGGAAAAAAAAATATAATAAATGCATTTAAGAGAAGAAATTTGCCTGCAGAAGTCTCCAAGGTGAATCCGGCCAGCGAAGGGGATCAGCGACTTGAACAGAAGATATGGTTCCCATGAACCAACTTATTCGTGAAGAATCCTCAGTTTCAAAGGGCATCTTGAACCTCATGCCAGCGCACCACCGAATCTGCAATGCTGCCTTTACAAGGGATGCCTTAACGCAAAACTCTGGAGTACTAGCTCTTGGGTAATAAACAACCTCAAAAGGTTGTCCATTGGCAGCAAGCGTTGCAGCTTCAATAACAGATTCTGCCTTGACCTTTCCACCCCCAATTGGACTTCCACTGTTGTTGATAGGCCCATTTCTCATGAACTTGTTTTCATCTTCTCTGAGAAATGCTGAAAACCCCCCATATGGAGTAACACAATTCCCACCGGCTGGATTCCACCCTGATGCTGGTTCAGGTCCACCTCCGATACCCCTTTTAGCACGGCGAATCCCAACACAAAGATCTCCATTTTCTGCTCTAAGAAAAACTATAGAATCCCCTGCAACAAGCTTCTTATGGTTTACAAAAGTGCTCCATCCTGTAGTAAGAAGATGCCGCCTTGGGGTCCCTCTATATATGTGCCTAAATTTCCAAGTGTCCCCATGGACATCCTTGGCAAGGATGGTCTGTACAGGAGGATCTGCAGAATAATCTAATGGCGGAAAAATCGTCTCTGCACAGTACCGCGGAACTGAAAAGCCTCCACCATTATTTGCATCTGATTGAGTTAAGGTTTTGGCAAAGGAAGTGGGCTTTTCTTGGTTATCAGTTCCATTCATACCCAAAGCTCCATCATCATCAAATTCCACATCATTCCCAGGAACAGGAATCAACCTAACTTTAGCAAAAACTTCATCACTCTCAGGATCTGCCATGAATTTAATGGCGGATATTCTACAACGAGTATAAGCCGGAATTCCGGGATAATTCCTAAAATCAACACTACCACACGCATGTTCAGCGTGTCCCTGAGGGAAATAGAATACTTTGGAGTTTATTGGTGGCATTTGGACCATACTGCCGGCACAAGCATGCCATAGTTGGGAATCCAGACATCTTTCCGAATCTTTTTCTTTAAATTTCTCTTTCGCCTCCATAAACGTAATCATTTCAAAAAAAGCATAAACACAAAACGAATTCCTTCTTTCTCCCTCTTACTTCTCCCTTCCCTTAAAAAGAACTCTCGGATTAATTAAAACGAGAATGCTCAAAACCAATAAAAAAGAGGCGGAATCTTACCAGCTTTCCTTCTTTACTCGAAATCCGTTCGTCAAAGCCGCAATTAACCAAGCTACCCAGAAATTGGCTCAAAAAAATATCCACTCATCGATAGACTAGTCTTAACTAGTCACACAGCTTCTGACCAACAGCCTTCCAAAAGACTAATGCAATCTCGGACTGTATCAAAGATTCAATTTTGTAAGCACCCAACAAAAATCTCTACTCCACAATCCCTTTCCCTCTGGTTTTCTCGACCAAAAGAGGAAAATATAATCAACCCAACTCACAAAAAAATCATCAAAGGCTGATATACCAAAAAAACAAAACCCAAAAGCAAAAAGAAAAAGATCAGCAGTTAAGCAACAAACTTTTCTTGACAGTGCTCTTTTTTTTTTTTCTTTTTCTTTTTTTTAACTTCAACGCTTTGTCATCTTTATGTCTGAGAATATACACATATTAGTAGTAGTAATAGTGAGATAGTGGAAGAGAGCTCCCCTTTTTGGCTGTGACAGTATAAAAAACTGATGTAAGGATGTTAGAAATCAAAGAAGTAGAATTAGAATAAGAACAAAAGACTAAAAATTGAGGTATGTATGAACCACTGTAATGTGTTTATCTCTCTCTCTCTCTCTCTCTCTCTCTGTTTTCAGGAGTCGTAGACTCACAAGCCTCTGTTTTCACACTCACGAACAAAGTGCCACGGTAATCGGGTTTTTAAAAGTACTCTCTGTCTCAGTTTTTTTTACCGTGCGGTAATTTCCAATAATCTGGGCAGGGTGAAAAAAGGAAAACAAGAGGAGATTTTTTGTTGGTAAAGAATAGAGAGAGAGAAAGGTTAGTTAGTGGATACAAATGTGATGATTCTTGCCATTTTCTTCGGATCTGAAGAAGCTCAGATGTATCTTCAGAAGCCAGCAAAACAACAAAGATCTTTAAAGCAAGCTATCCATTTCCCCCTTTCTTTATTCAATATCTTAATTTTTTTTTTGTTTATAAAAAAAAATAAATATAAAAAATTGGGGACATTGTGTTTATTGTATGGTACGGGAGGTGTATTAATTTATTGAATTAAAAAGTATTAAATTTATTCTCTTGGTACAGAGTTTGGATTTTACCATGTTTTTTTAATCCGGCAGCTAATTTGACTTGTTTTAGTGCAAAATATCGTGAGATGTTGAAGATAACGAGGTGTCTAGAAGTCAATCCTTCTCCTCCGAAGGCAAGGCTTCGGTAATTTTAGTAAAAGGTTTTCAATTACAGTTTACTAATCCTGTTTACAGCCCCAAAAGGTAGAAATCCTCGTAGAGTTGTAACTTTTCACCTAGTCACTTTTTTTCTTTTTTCTTTTTTTTCACTTAATTGTCTTATTACAATGAATTTAGACAGTCCAACGTAAATGCAAGTAGAGAGATACGTGAGAAATAGAATGAATGTAAACATCGTTGTGAAAGACAAAATAATCTCCTTCCAACAACAATGACAATTTTTCATTCTTTTTGGGATGGAAAATTTTTTATTATTTATTTACTTTGCAGTTTGCGCTATTTGTATTTCTCCTTTATTGTATCAAAAAAAAAAAGGAAAGAAAAGAGACATCCAATAAAAAGAAAAAAAAATAGTAAATGAGATTTTTTTTGTACTACATTCACTACCAAAGACCCCATTATGGTGTCCAAAAGAGATGAACTGAAAATGGTTGATGTCCCCCGCATTTATATAATTATTATCTAAAAATAATTATAAACTGATAACTAGACAAGAACTATTACAAATTGATAAATCGACAATAATTATAAAACTCTTTGTTTTCCATAGTATGTCGTACGTCATCCAAATTATACACTCTAGTTTCCAAATCAGAATTTTTTTGAAAGACATGAAAAATACTATTTAGGCATATCAACATTACAAATGACTTTGTGAAGGAGGGACTAGTATATTGTTTTATAGTGCATTGCTTTTTTTTTTTTGTTTTTTTTTTTACCAATTATACAATTTCGAATCTTGTATGACATATTTGTGTTATACTCTTCTGACACTTGTTGAATAGACTATATTTACCATTATCATTAATAACAATAATAATACTCTAAGCAGATAGTAGATGAACACATTTGATTAACCGATTAAACACACGTACGTTAATCATCTAATTAGTGTCATAAAGGTCGCCTCCTTTGATTGAGTTGGACTGTTTCAGTGTTAGGTTTGTACAGTTCAAAACTTTTACTCCCTTCATCCCAAAATTATTATCCAGTTTAAATTTTCAATTTTAGTTTAAATTATACTAAAAATGAAAATCTAAACTGAACAATAATTATAGGACGGAGGGAGTATAAGCTAAATGCCAGCTGGCTAGATAGTTAGAATGTCGAAGATGCTAATGGCACAAGAATTAGACAGCAATGATATTCAAGTCAAGATACGATGCCTTTAAATTCTTAAACAAACAAGCAAAATAAGAAAGACCAAAACTTGCATCAACCACGGTTAATTTATGTGACAAACAAAACTCAAAATATGTTTAAAATCTTTAAAAATTGCTTATCAGTTACACGAGACCATACAATATGTAAATCAATGAGGGCGATCGAGATGATCAGAAATATTTTTTAAATGTATCAGCTACGTTAATTATCTAACTATATATAAATAGTGAGTTTAGACAAATTTTTGGTAGTATATCATCACATGTATATATAAGTCTCTTCTTATCCTCCTATGTTTAACTTTTCCTGTTTCTTCGAATTTACCATCATCATTATGATTTTTTATTTTTCCTTCAATCTCCTAATAATAATTTGTCTTTAATGTACTTCTTTAGTTTTTTTACAATTCTCTAATAATAGTTTTATTATTTCATTCGTTATTTGATTCATTTAATCCCTAGAGTTTCATCTTCTTTTTCATTAATTCTATTTTCTTTTCTTACTTTTGTTCTCTCTAATTTTCTACGCTTTAAATAGAACTCTTTCGGTTGATAATCTCTTTGATGGTAGCCCTTTGTGTTTGGATTTTCTCCCTAATTGTCTAATCTCTCATTGGCTTCCTAATTCCATGAAGAGGAATCATATAGTTTATTCTCTAATTAAATGAGCACAATATATATGATTCAATTTCATTTTTTTTATGATGGTATTACAATTTTAAACTAAAATGAGTACAAATTATTTAGAAAAATGAAAATAATTTGAATTTTTTTAATTTTTTTTTTGCATCTCTCATATCCTTTGTATTAATTATGAATATATGTTTTGGTATTATTTATTTTAAATGTTGGATTAATTCAGTCTCTTATGTTTTTTTCTCCATATCTTGAGTATTTATACATGTAAGTTATTTGTTTGAAAGTTTGAATGTTTAAGTAATAATTTTATTTTTATTTTTTACATTTCACTAACACATTCACAGTTGCATGGATATTTTTATGCTTCTATGGATGCCACTATCATGGTGAGAAGAATTGAAAGCTCTACTATAATATGAATTTTTTTAAAAAAGGAAAAAAAAAAAAAGAAAAGAAAAAGGGGCAAGTTTTAGAATCAAAATTTAAAGAAAACTTGCAAATTGAAGTACAAGTACATATTAGAAGGTAAGTACTGTTCACTTTCATGTATTGGTTTAGGTTTGTTATTTAGAATAGTTTAGTTTTAAGTATAATTTTATACAATTACGATTTATACATTTATTGAAATGTATTTTAATTTAAATATAGAAATTTGTTTGTTAGTTGCATATTTGTATTTTTAGGTAAATGCAAGATTATTAATCATGTTGTGGTGTCACACGTAATATTGAAATTATTCAATAGAATCATTTATTTAACAAATTTTTCTATATTTCTTTTTATTTTTTTCTCAATTTATTATTTTTCATTAATTTTATTAAATTTTAAAATTAAGGTATGCGCGAAGCGCGTTCAAACCATAGTTTGATATATGTATATCCGTCACGAAATGATAGCGAAAGGGGGGACAGTAGTTTTGAGAGGAACAAACCAAATGTTTCAACAAGGCTATGGTGAAAAGCAAGACAGAGTGGAGGCAAAAAACAGTAACCAACACACAAGATTGAGAAATGAGAGTGCATAAATCACATGAGGACTAAAATATTCGGGGAGTGATGATTAAGACTTGACCAAAGCATATTGTACCCAGGTCTCGACAATTATTGTGTCATCCCCTCCATCAACTATCCCCCACTCTCTCCCTCAATACACACAGTCACACACACACAAACTGTGATGGATGGATGTTGCCCACATTAAGAAAAGGACTCTCTAACCATATCATGAGCTGCTGCAACCCCCGGGACCCTACTACTCCCCCTTTACCATGTCCACAAATCAATTTGCAACACAAGTGTACGTGACTACTGTACTATACATTCATTAAACGATAAAGACACTGAATTTTTTCAGTGAAAATGACGATAATCGGAGTTATAAAATTTAAGAATTAGTATTTTTAATTTTGTACTTTTATGCGTGACACAATATCAATTCCATATTTATTTACATACATTACACAATATCAATTCAATATATATCGTTATTTATTTACATACATTATACAAATATTCGATGTTATATCACAAAAAAACTACATTATTGATTATTATTATATGTCTAACACGATGGATCTTAATGAGATACACTTGTTGAATTAGTTGTACACGCAGTCACGCACTGGTTCGTGTTGTAGGTGTTAAATGTATATGGGTGGGTACGTGGAGAGGAAAGGTTAGAATTGTACGTACTGAGGGAATTTGAAAGGATAGGCAGAGACATCAGGAGCCCACGATTTAACCGAAATGTTATACATGTACTTACGTTGGTGTTCATGACCGAGTAGACCCCCTTTTTTAACGTTTCTGCAACTCATTCGCCAAAAGTGTATGTTAAAATGCGTATGTATTATGTAAGAGTATAAATGTGTGTAATGGATTTAGAGGAGTAGATGGAGTTAAATGCAGAAAGTGGGGGCAGATGATAATGTTGGTGGGTTTTGTCTTGATGGTGCTCGATCATTCATATGACTCTCTCTCTCTCTCTATACGGTGTGGTGGGATTGTATGAGTATGATCAATGGTTCCCCCCCACAATTTGTTCCATGCAGACAGCTAACCACCCCACATGGCGGGTCAATCCATCAGACTTTGATCATTCTTTTCCTTCTACCTAGTTTCATTCTTTTCAACATCAGGATTCATAGTAATTTACTGTTTTCTTAATTATACCTTAATGAATGGGGATATATAATGGTTTTGTACTTTCGGACATCATCTTTTCTCGAACAAATTAAGGTAAGATCAATCAAGCAGTACGTACTGATATAATCTTAACTCGGTCGTGCACTTCAAAAACTCGCTCGTACATAAGAAAACAAAGGTTATTCTTACGCGGGAAGGCAAGTAAAGCACGCGTACGTAAAGGAATTGGTATTAGTAACATTTCAAGTTTTACTCTTCCGGTTCTGGTCCTTATTATAAGACATTTTGAGACATTTTGATTTCGTCTTAAATTTTATCTAGGATGTCTTTTTAATTGAAATAAAAACCTTAAAAACATTTCAAAATCATTAGGAGAACACAAACAATGTGAACATATATTTTTAAAGTTTTTTTTCCAATTAAAAAAAGTTCTAAGTTAAACCTATGACGAAATCAAAATGACTTATAATAAGTAATGAATGAAAAAACCAAAGAATCAAAATGTTGACGGAAGACGGAATCATAATTATATGACACAGACAAAAAAGTGATAAACTGTATATGTACACTTTGTAAATTGCTAACTAACTATAAAAGTATAAACTATAAAACGTTGTGCTGCAGCAGGTTGGTAGAATGGAGCAATTGGAGTTGACAGCTACAAGACAACAATAAGGGCAGAATGGGTAAGTTGTTGGTGTTTTGATAGCTGGAGGAAGTTTTGATGGGAGGAGAAAGCGTTGACCCTTGTGTTTCCCTATCTTCTTCTTGTGTGTGTGTGTGTGTGTTTTAATGAAATTTTTTAACGTTTTATAGTAGTAATAAAATTTTTTGTTTTTGGAAGGGATGGTGTGACGGCTGTACCGCGTGTCATTTCAGGACCGGGAACTGACGTACGTGGGTGTCCCATCATGGTGATGTGTGTATTCTCAACGACTGACTTCCTTCCTTCCCATTTCTGTCCCCTTTGTTTCTTTCTTTCTTTCTTCCTCTATTTCTTCTTCCCCTACCACAGCTGTGATCTCATCTCATTCGGTTTTTTACTTCTCTAATCTAAGGGATTTTGAAGCGAGAATTGGTTTTTACGACAATTTATTTCGATGGATACGGTCGCTGATAGAGATTGGACCAGTCCAGCTCGAAATAATGGAATTGATGATTATGTATGCTCAAGACTTCAAGTGCTTGAGCATTAAAAGGTCATTGGAATATCTCCACCTTGCTGGTTCAGGCTTAGAACGCCGGACCTTTTCAATCAAGTCCAACTATTTCTATTTGCATTCAGATTAAAACAAGAGTTACATACCTTGATTTATGTATAAAAGTATAATGAAAGGCCTATCCGACTTCAATTTAGATTAGCTGAACCAATGACTTCGGCCGCATCTATAACATATCAAAACAAATAATAAATTGTTTTTTGTCAGAAAAAATGGAAGTATTAAGATGAGAGACTTGGGCTGAATCGTAATCGAATCATATAAAACTAGCCTACACTCAAATAACGTAAATGAGGGGATCAGCCTTGACTCCACAATAGTTTAACAAAGATTTGAATTTGAGCCCATTTTGAGTTCGAGCTCAGTGCAATGATCTCTTTGAGTGGGCTGTTGAAGAAATCAAATCATGAAATTCCAGATGAGTGGATTGATTGGAAGCAGTCAGATAAAACCCTCCAGAACCAGTAAGCGAATTTTACTCGTCTTGTTTTTTGCCAACAGACTCGGTAACCCACACTAAACTAGTTTTTCAGTTACCTCTCCAGATGATGATAACATTAATTACTAAAAACATTACAGAAGAAAATAAGAACAAGAAACCTCTGCCCAATTGCAGTAACATTATCACCTGTATTTTTTCCGTGGTTATTAAAGTATTCATTAATTTACAAAATACAAAAACAAAAAATTGCAGTTAAGAGTATTTCAGAAGAACCAGTACCAGAGTAAGATACATGGCTTGCATGAAGCTTGGCTCTAAATCTGAAGCGTTTCACCTCGATGGCCACTCCTGGTAAAATCAATCACTTTTTTTAAATTTTTTTTTTTTTATTTGGAGTACTTATTTTCATGATTCATGCATCTTTTGTTTTTTTATGCATCAACTCCTTAATTAAAAGTTCCTTCATGTATTGGTTATTTGGTTTCCTATTTTTTTTTTGATTGATTAGGATTACGAATTTTGTCACTACATCATCTTGCTGGTTCTTCTTGATGTCTGTGTTATAATTTGCCTGTTATTCTCACCCGCGACACCTTATAAGAACTACTAAACCAAGGTAAAAGTAATGGAAGGGGAAAGCTATAAAGTATCGTGGTTTTCAGTCTTAGGAAAAGATGACAGGTTGATCTGAAATCTTTTATCTATTCTCATTTCAGGCACTGTTCATCTGGGCTTGCTAGTGATATTACGATCCACATTGGAGAAATGTCTTTTCACCTTCACAAGGTGCATCGTTTTCTCCCTTTGCTATCACTCGTTTTTGAAACTATCCAATTTAATTAGTACTGCTCCCTCCCTCCCAAAATGATCATCCCGTTCAACGTGAAAATCCCAATTTTGGAAAATCATTTTGGGAATCTAATAAGAAAGTTGAATGTAGAGAATTCTATCAACAGTGTAACATCCATTAGGGGGTAAGTAATTTACAAAATTCGGTGAATGCAGTTTCCTTTGCTGTCGAGGAGTGGGCTACTGGAAAAGCTGATTGGAGAGCTGAAACAGGAGGATGGATCAGTATGTGTTCTGCAGCTCGGGGAACTACCCGGGGGAGCCAAAGCGTTTGAACTCGTGGCGAAGTTTTGCTACGGTATCAAAATAGAGTTGACTGCCCTCAATGTAGTTAGCCTAAGATGTGCAGCTGAGTATCTGCAGATGAGTGATGAATATGGAGAAGGAAATCTCATCACTGAAACCGAAGTTTTCCTGAATGTCATATTTGGCAGTTGGTCTGACACCATCAAAACTCTAGAGACCTGTGAAGAAGTCCTGTCTCATGCTGAGGAGCTTCACATTGTGTCGAGATGCATAAATTCCCTGGCTATGAAAGCCTGTGCTGACCCGAAATTATTTAACAGGCTTGGTTTGGGGGAGGATAACGAGCATAAAGAAGCCGATGGAATGTGGAATGGGATCACTTCATCGAATCATTCACAAGATACTGCTGAGGGGTGGTGGTATGAGGATGTTTCCTTCCTAAGTTTGCCACTCTACAAACGTTTGATAGTTGCTGTTGAAGCTGCTGGAATGAGTGCAAACAACCTCGCGGGATCCTTGGTTTTCTATGCTAAGAAATATATTCCGTTGATGAACAGGCAGTCGAGTTTCAATGATGCAAATCATTCCAAACAAGGATCAGCCGTGTCCACCCCTTCTGAAGCCGATCAAAGGGCTCTTCTTGAAGAGATCGTCGAGCTACTTCCAAATCAAAAAGGGGTTACACAGACTAAGTTTCTGGTCAGGCTGCTTAGAACTGCTATGGTTCTTCAAACAAGTCCATCTTGCAGGGAAAATTTGGAGAGGCGAGTGGGATTGCAGTTGGATCAAGCCACTTTAGATGATCTGCTGATACCTAATATGGGTTATTCGGTCGAAACCTTGTATGACATTGACTGCTTCCAGAGGATTCTTGAACATTTCCTATCAATGGAACAGTCGGTGGCGCCTTCTCCTTGCATTGTGGAGGAGAACCGAATTGATGATGGACCGCATTCGTTGACTTCAATCACAATGGTGGCCAACCTAGTGGATTCATATCTTGCTGATGTTGCTACAGATGTTAACTTGAAGTTCCCGAAATTCCAGTCTCTTGCGGCCGCAATCCCTGATTATGCAAGGCCATTAGCCGATGGCATTTACCGAGCCATTGACATATATTTGAAGGTATATAAACAATGAACATCCACCAATTTTATTTTGTTGGTAGTTTGATTTCTTTTATTCAAATGTGATGATGATGATGATTTATGTTTATATTTACACGATGAAAATTTTCAGGCACATCCTTGGGTGCCAGATGCGGAAAGGGAACAAATCTGTAGATTAATGAATTGCCAGAAACTCTCTTTGGAAGCCAGCACTCACGCAGCACAAAATGAAAGGCTTCCACTCAGGGTGATCGTTCAGGTGTTATTCTTCGAGCAGCTTCGTCTGAGAACCTCAATTTCGGGCTGGTTCTTTGTATCTGAGAATATGGAGAATTCACAAAATCCCAGTGGGGTGCTGTCGATGGGCAAAAATGGCGGTTCGCTACAATTCAGGAGGGGATCAGGCATCGATGACATGAAGTATCGAGTCACGGAGCTGGAAAAAGAGTGCAATAGCATGAGGCAGGAATTTCATAAGCTGTTGAAATCTAGAAGAGGTTGGAACATATTCTGCAGAAGAAGGTCGCACTGTCCTCAATCTAAGCCTTGTAAGATGTAAGATCATCTTCGCTTCCCGCAGAATTTCAAAGTGGCCATTGAAATTGCTTATCAATCTTGTACTCACATCTTATGTGAGCTGCAGACCTAAAAAAAATGAGAACTATTCATGGGGAATTTGCAATATCTCAGACATATTTATGGGCACATTGATGTCTTGAATATTTTTGAGGTCTGTGATAGTCAGTTAGTAACATCGGACCTGAAAAACTTTTGATCTGGTAATGAATGATTTGTTTCCTTCAATTTGAGGAATTGCTGCATTTTGTTTGTCAACTATCAAGTAGTCAGCCTCGGTGAAATGAATGTGCTATATGTCGCGCCATTAAAAAGTTGGGCCTCAAATTCCTTGCTGGGTCTGATATCGCACAGTATCCACGCAATGAATTTGGGCCTGAGGTCTTATTAATTCTCCTTGGGGCCCGTCCATCTCTCAAATTATTTTCAAAAGCAGATTTCGTATGCATATACAATAAAACCTCTCTAAATTAATAGTCTTGGGACCAAAATTTATTAATTTATCGATTTATTTTATCAATAAATTAATAATTTATTAATTTGAAAAGTTTTCCCAATGAGAAATAATCTTTGTCAACAAGAAAAGAAAAGTTGATGATAAATACGGACTTCTAAATTTATATATACGGTACTAGGGTTCTTTGTGCGGCTGCAAATTTTGAACCTCCTTTGTTAAGAAAAAACAAAGATCAATAGATTCATATTTTACTAGAAATTATTAGTTTTTGTTTAGGTAATTATTAATTTTTTGTACTGGTCCCGAATTAGGATTGGCAAAAATTATTATTTAATAGAGGTTATAAATTTATAGAGGAGTAACTTAGAGAGGTTTTAGTGTATGTACATTCAAGGCCACAAAATCCAAACTAAAAACAACCTATAACGTTTCAGCTTCTCAAGATAAAATATACTACGACAAATGCTTGAAAAGAAATTCTATTTGATTATCGTGCATGTTTATTTCTTTTTGCGTTTGCGTACTTTTGCTGAAGTCAGAATTCAAACTCTGTTTATTGGATCAAATGCTTGTCACTATTATGTTCTATTTAAATTTTTCAGTTTTAATATATTTTGTATTTTAAATGAAACTGTTCAATTGTTTTCGGATGAAAGGAGTACCTTTTTCCTGAGTACAAATTTCTTTTGCGATTTTTGCCACCAACTTTAAGCGGACGTTTATAATTAAAAAAAGAGAACTAAAATAGAAAAAAAGAAAGAAAAAGGGGCAACATTTTCAAAAGAGTACTTCATTAGATAATGATTAATTCCGCGAGGCTTCCTCTTGGTATGAGTTAGAACGTAATGTCAAGTTACATTCACAAAAATTGCATCTACTTTGCGAGTTGTTTTCGTAAGAAGACTTTTGAAGACCTTTTTTACTCAAATGACTTCAATCAAGTTAATCAATAGATAAAAAGGACTGGATAGTTGCCTTAATCATGTGAATGGAATTATAATGATCATTATCTTTGACCAATTAGCATTATGGTAATAATTATTAGAAACTAGAGAAAGATGCAAAACATTCTAATTAACTTGATTTCAATTTTCAAAGGGGAAGTTGTGGGGACTGGGGAACAGGGGAACCAACTGCATATACCATCACACCTTCATCATGTTAGAATAATTATTTTGGTTTTCTTTTTCCCCCTCGGTTTATTTCTTCTCCAGAAGCACATCTAGATCAGGTTATGGTTTAATTTTGACTTTTGCATTGCTTTTTGCCTGGTTTAATTTACTACTATGGTTTTGTACTTTAGTCATGCTTTAAGCCTTTAACCATTCAACTTGTCTTAGACTATATCAGTACATCATAAACTACTACTTTTTTGGTAATTAATTGACTTGTAGGAAGTACTTACTTCAAGCCCGCCCAAATCCATGTTACTTATTGTCTCTAATTTCTTCTTCTTCCTCGTGCCTGTCCAAAGTGAGCAGTATCCATTGTATGACGTATGGTGGTTCAACAAGATATCCTTAAAGAAAAAGTGACAATTTTTTCGATATATATATATATATATATATATATATATATATTCAAGGGGCCAAAAATATTGATGCTTACTTTACATCAATTGGTATTGGTATGTTGCACTAAAATTACTTAGTGCATACAAGACTTCTGGATATATTATTTTTCTAAGCTTCACTATCAAGGAAATATGTACAGTAGTCAATGGTTGTGGTAATTGATGTCCTATTAATTACTGCCTTACCTCAGCTAATTGGAGCTGAGATTTCTTTGCTTGTACCTCTCACTCATCACACCACGATTTTGTAGGCTCTTTTTTTTGTGAACTTGATTTACGCATCATTGTCTTCCATATTGGAAAATTTTGAGAACATGGAGTGTTGCATTTTTTTGGCTTATACTTTAAGGTGTTTTCGTACTAAGTGTGATTTGACCAAGTTATTCGGAACATAATTGTTCAAATTATACGGGAAAAAAAGTCGGTAGAATCATACCCTTTTGTTTCTTTATTTTGCAAGCTATTGACTAGCTAGCTACCATGCACCGCCATTTCCTTCTTTTCACATTATATATCCATCCCATTTTGGAAGCTATTGATGCTGTGCAATATTATACGCACTAAAGATAAGGTGTAAAACATAAATTTGTTTAAATTATTGACGAGTTTGTAATTGTTTTCAAGAGTATCTATATCTATATCTATAAGAGAGCTAACTTACTGATAGTCACAGATCATAAAGCAGGATCGCCGTATGCATTAATTGTTTAGTTTAGAGAAAAATTGAATATAGATTCAAGTAAACTAACTATATATGAGGGCAAAAAAGGTCATGCAAAGTAAAGAAAACAAATGTTACGAACATGTTTTTTTTTTAAAAAAAAAATAATATCTGTATATTAACTAGAAATATCTAAACTATTACGAAGACATGTATTACATGTTAGATTATGCAATTCTCCGATCACATTTATGCTACGAACATGCTTATAGATTCATAAGTCCTCCTTTCAGACGGGCTAATAATTCAAATGAATTAAAAACTACTAGTATTAGTTTGAAGGGCAAGCAAAGAAAATGACAGAAGAAAAAGGAACTGGGGAAAAAGATAATGGAATCTTGCATGAGAAGAAATACTGGACGAGAATATACAAGTATATTTAAAAGGGGTTATAATGAGGGTTCATGGGAAAATTAGAAGAAATGAGGGTGGTGGAAGTCGATGGGGGTAGACAAGGTGATGACCGAGAGACATAAAATAGCTCGGAAAAAGGGAGACAAGATCGGAGCTAAATAAAAAGGAAGCCAAATATGGCCCCACACACTCTCCTACTCAGATACCGCCATATTTCTTTCCACCATTTCATCTTCCTCTTCTTTCTTGTTTAATTGGTTTAATATTACTGTAATGTCACAAATTGGGTTAAGGAAAAATGGGTCCTTTCCGATCAGCTCTTGTCATTTTTTAGAAACCCTTTCGGTGGTGAAACCTTGTCACCTAGCCTGACTTTTGGCCCTACTTTTGACTATTTGATGACTGAGACTTAAGATGCTTTTATCTAATTTCATTTGATTTTTTTCCCATTCAAGAATTTTCGAACCGATTAAAATTGATATATTTGTTTGTTAAGCAAAATGTACAGAAGTTAACTAACGAGAAGAATTTGGCATATGTCACGTGGACGTAAGTTTGAAGGACAAAGATTTGTCGACGTCGGAATTCTTATTCCACATGGTGCATTGATTGTTTCCTTCTTTGACTTCATTGGAAGCGATCGAGAAACAAATTACCCCGTTATCATTTTTGGAGGGCAAGCAAATGATGGTAATGATGTGATTAACTCGCATAATCACGTTAATGTTTTGATGATGAGGACAAATTACTACACTAATTACGTACTCCTCCTACCAAAGAGGAATGCATGATTTTCACCGTTTTTGATGCTAAAGTATAGGGAATGAGGATCATACCCGTCTGCATAATTCGACTCGACAAATGATCATCATTGCTTTGGGCTATTAATTTAAATTCGACTTTTTAGGTTTAAAAAAAGTGGTATCCGAGGACCGGGAAACTAATTTTCTATTCCTACTAAGGTCCGACTGAATAAGAATGAAATGATCAAAGTCTCAATTAAGCACATACGGTTTTGAAACCCTCTTGGTTAATTTTGTTGTTATAATTAAGTCAATATATCAACTAATATACAATCGATCTGGTCACATTCTAATAGTTAATGAGAATGTGAGATTCGATTCCTACCCAGTTTAAGGCGTTATGTGAACTCGATCTTAATCGTTCCGTTTTCTGGTTACGTTAGCATCTGTGAATGCATTGTTACTTTATCAATCCAACTACAGATTAACAACACGAAAGCAAGAGAAGGATCCTCGTCATCTAAGTTAATGGCATGCAAGACTTTCCAGTTTCCCACTAACTAGTTTCTGAGAAATTAATGAAAGCCAAACTAGGAAAAAGCTAATAGCATGCATGAAGGCAAGCATGGCCGACTTGCCGTAATTTTGGACTGGAAAAAGAAGTAGTAAATATGCTAACTTTGTTAACAACATGCAAACTACAATATTGGTGATGACATGCTTTAATTTGTCGTTCTTACATGCATGCAAATTAACTTAACAAACGGCTGTGATTAATCTCTAGTACTCTAAAATGTTAAAATGAAGAAGACATACTCCCTCCGTCCCATAATTATTGTCCACTTCGCCCAAAAAATTTTGTCCCAAAATTATTGTTCAATTTGACTTTTTATAGATCAAGTTACACATTTGTCCTTAGTAAAAAATATTATCCATAAAATCTTAGTGGTTAAACGATTACTTATGTAGGGGTATATCGGTTGTTTAAGGTAAAATATAGTTAAGTTTGACAAAAAATAAACTCTTTCATTTTAGTAAAACTGGACAATAATTATGGAACGGGGAGTACTTTTTTTTGCGCCCTTACTCTGGGGCAGAACCTCACACGTTATAAAGTTTTCTCTGGGTTCATCTTTGGGTACTTTTTCCTTACAAATTTCTTCATACTCGAATCCAAACAGTAATCTGTGTCCGGTTCCTTTTTCTGATCTGCTGAACGCCGACTCTAGTTTTTTGGGCAAAAAAAAAAAAAAAAAGAACTGTGTGGACTCTTTGCGCTTTGGGACGACGGTCTTTCGTGGCTGAATTAGGACGGTCAGATTAAGGGACACAATAATTCTTTTCCAACCACTACTAAG